GTCGTGGGTGGGAGTGGGGTACCGATTGGGGGTTTTCTGGGATCTGGAGTCGTAGGACGGAAGGCTTTGCGTGCGGGGTTTTGGAAGGGTTATTGTGGAGTAGTGGACGAGGAGATGGTGGTGTTGCTGGGAGAGGAGGGGGGAAGAGACTTTGGAGCTGGACGGCGTGGTGCGGTTGGAGTGGACGTGAAGCAATGGGGTGTTGGATTTGATTCTTGGGGATGTGTGTCTTGTTTCGGGTGTAGAAATCCGCGGAGCGTTGGCGTCTTGGAGAGATGCCTCTCTGCAAATTTTCCCTAGATAAGACACCTTCGCTGATCATATAAAGAGCCTACCGACATTACTGCTATGCAAGAGCTTGCCCCCTTTTCCCCCAACGCCTCGCTTGCTATGACGTATTAAAGACAGCAATTACCTGTCCGAATCATGGGAAGAAATCCCTCAAGTTCAAAATCCTGTGTGTTTTCTTCCCCATGCTGCATCGATCTCTGACGTGCTGTTACCGCTCAAGCAGTCCTCTTCACAACGAACACCCCGACCTCGATTCCCTCTCTAACCGCGTCGCACTCCGCATATGGCCTCTCTTTCACTCCGTCACACACTTCGCGAACCAAATCCGAGGCCGTCACGTCCTCGATATCACCGGAGAAATTCATTTTATGCGGCAACATGAGCCCCTTGTTGAAGTAGGTATTGACCACCTTTGCAATCCTCTCGCTCTCCTGATGTATCCACCACTGCGTCCACTCTTTCCGCTCCAGCGGCACTATCTGCGTATTCGAGTGCATTATCTTGTATCTGGGCTTGGGGCGATTTGGAGCGGTAATGCCGCGCTCGAGCTGGCGGAGGAGTGCGGAGAGTTTACGTAGCATCTTTTCGTAGGGGAGCATTTGGTGCACAGCCGCAGCTTTGCCAATGCCACACGCAAAGTCGGCAGAGAGATTGTAGAGGCCGACCATGTTGCGTAATAAGGGATCGAGAAGCGCACCAAGGTATCGGGAAGAGAACGTGGTGGCTCCTTGGAGTGTTGGGTAGACGAAGACGAGCATGCCTCCTCTAGGCGAAAGCTCAACGAGTCGGTCGACGAGGACTGATGGGGCATCCATAGCGAAAAGGTGGAGATATTCCTCGGTAGACGAAGGTGGGATGAAGCGTTCAAGCAGGGAGACACTGATGCTGGAAGGCGCCACAACGGGGTGTGGAGAGGAGGGGACGGAGGTATTGAGGGCGTGGTGGTGATCCATTGCAACGACCGCTTTGGGGAAGACATTCATACTGAAATAGTCGGCTCCCGACGCTCCGATATTGGGTGTTGTAACGGGGCTGTTGGGAATGTGGTTCATGTTGAATTTTACGGGCACTGCGTAGGTTATATCGATGTAAAGTCCGCCAGGATCCGCGCTATCTTGGATGGCGGCTTCGATGACCTGGAAGGTAGTTGCAACGGGTCCAATCATTTCTGTGGTTTGCACTGGCACCTTGATATCACCAATGAAAACAGGCGGCTTATTCTCGTCTTTAGGCTTCATCATGATGTTCGTGAGAGGGCAAGGTTGCGTATGGCAGAGCGTATACACGACATAGTTTGTAGCAGCGACATCGATGTTGGCAACTACGGTGGTCAGCGAGAAGCATTCAATGCTTTGCAACGATTTCGTGAAGCTCACCAAGCGCGTCAGTAGCCTCCTTGAGCCAATCGAACTGACCAGGCACAGCATCGCTGTCCTCACTGTCAGACCTCGTAGGGTCTGTCCCATGTTCAGCATTCCCGGCTTGGGCCTCTGAGACTGCTATGGATTGATGGTTCGAGGCAGTAGTAGTCGGAGCTTCAGAAGCAGTAGCTACTTGGCCGAGCGTGGAGGTAAAGTCTGAGCGGTCAGGCGACGGCGTCTTCGGCATGTTGAGTGCTGGGTACGAGGATCTTCTGGAAGCTGATGGAAAGGAAGTAAGTGGTGGAGTTATCATGCAATCTTGGATGATAGTCTCGTCAGGTGGAGTGAGCAGAGCGTCGGGTACGCGTGAAGAGATGCCCAAAGATCTAAAGGATGGAAGTTGGAGGTGCTGCCGACATTTCACCAGGGGTAGGAGCGAATGCATGTTTGTGGTCTCAATAGTAGCGGCGGCGAGATCATTTGGAACAGGGGCGGCGAAGTCACTGATGTGATACTTCTTTTCTCCGGATGCTCTACAGCTTGGAAGATCAGAATCCGAATAACCCCGATAATTCAAGCAGGCCTTGGAAGGGACTCCCTCGATTGAATTGGCCCCATCCTGGTCAGACACGAAAGGCTGTGGCCGAGCCGATGCCTTTGTGGTCATTGCATCCGTTGCATACTACCGTATCGGGGCTGATTGAATGTAGCTGGTGAGGTTGGGTGATCACAGACGAGTACGAATTCGGTTTACCAATGTGGTGTAGCCGAGAGGAAGAAAGCGTTTGTTGTTTGTTGTTGTTGTTGCTGTTGTTGTTTTCTGGAGCCAGAGCGATGTGGATAGGATCTCAGCAAGTAGACCGGGATGGCAAAAGAGGGACTGTCTATTGGAGGGCAGAATGATCAAGTGAATAGGTCATCAGTCATAACGGCGAGAATTCGAATGTAGGTATGTGTAGGGTCGTAGTGCAGGCAGAAGAGAAAGAAAAGAAGAAAGAAAGAATCAGCCGATGGAGATGTTTGGGTGGTACTCGGGGTGCTCGGGGGTCTAGACCGGTCTTTCGCAGAGGGAAAATTTGGGTGAGGCACCAAAGGGCACCAGAGGGGAAAGGGCAGCCGCCGCTATTCTTGGGGCTAGGTACGCGTTTCAGTGCCTAAACGCACCCTAAATCCCACTCCAGCAACGGCTTTTTTCCCGCCGGACCACCCGATCCCCTGCCCTTTTTTCTTTTTTCAAGGAGTCAGGCATGACTTGCAGCTGTCTCCGCTCCGCTGCATTGGCACTCCGGATTGGACGCACCCTTTCTCATTAGAGCTGTCAGCAATATTAATAGATCCTAGGTATCTCCCTGACTATCCAGTACTACTATCTACTTTAGGTTCGCGAGGTGCGGGTCCATTGAGAAAAAGTCAATGTACGGTCAGAAGCCACAGCAAAGTATTCAGTGGGCACGGAATGCAGCGGAGCCAGACCTCCTCAGACTCCAAGGCTTGCATGGAATACACCAAAAAGTGCTCATGCGGGCCCATCGAATTCCCGCTCATTGCAGCAATCACCATCGCCTTCATCGACATCGAGACTTCTCGTTCGCTCGGAGCATGGAGAAAACAGGTTTATTGGAGTGCTTGCATGGATTGATTGGACACAGGCAGTCAAGGACTTGGAGCCTTGGCTTTGCATTGGCTCAATCTGTGGCGACATGGGTCCGGCACCAACCGAGCCTCCGCGCGTCTTAACCCTGCATACCTAGTACATATCTAGCTCTGACCTCTCTACGTCTCGTGAAAGATGCTGAAACGAGTATGTAACGGGCGTACATAAGTTTGCACTTGCGCAATTTCAAGGCTCCCTTGCGACTTCAGTCCTGTTACAGGGGTATCACTGGTAGGGACGTGCGCTGGATGGTCTTGAAACAGTGCACACCCCAGAGTTGAAACGCTCCAAGAAACAGTCATATAATGTTGAAGCTTGTGCTGAGTCCTAATATTAAAGCAGGACTTGTGGACGATGGATTCCGTTTCGCTTGGAGTTAAATACGTTAGGGTATTCTTGAAATAACGACATGCCTTGGCCATGACAACACACCTCAATCAAGAGGCCTCTTTGGGAGTAATGCTGTTGAGATCGCATCCATGATACAAAACGATTCTATAACGCAGCTGCTTGGCATGGCCAGCGCCTGTGGTCAGTCATTTGTCCGCAGTACCAACTCCACGACCTCCCTCGACCTTGTGGCTCTGGGCCTGGGGATCACGAGACAGACAAGCAGTACGAGCAGGAAAGGTTGGTGGAGATATGTAGTAAAGCTCACGCCTGAGCAACTTGATCAAGAAAGATGCGAAATAAATAGACTCTTCTCTTCCCTCAGAACATCTCGTATTCCTTGCACGCAAATCATGCCTCGCCATCATGGGGCTATTCGCATTGAGACGTTGACGTGCACAAGTATTGTAGTAGAAAAGCAGGCGGAAGTATGCAGTAAGACCCATGCTCGAACGACTAGACCGTGAGGTATGGAAAGTAGCGAATCATACTCTCCCATATTCTACACTCCCCTCCCATGACGCATAGATCCGAACAGCCTCACAACGACAGAAAGGGAGGCATGGACGGGGACAACACCTCCAGAAGCGTCGGTCATGAGAGCAGTAGAAGAACTTGTCGTGTCCATCGAGGTGGGACTGCTCTCCCAACAAGGCCGGCTTTGTCACCTCAACACGCAGCAGACGTAGGATTGGATGATCAAATGTAAGATACAATAGAAGCAATCACGATTGACGGCCCTTGAGACTGAATGGGAACCCACTTCGTTCTAGTTGAGTGACTTTTTACTTGGGATCGCTGGGCAGGCCATTCGTGCAGAACCCCCTTTTGTCAACACATGAGACCTCTTCCGCCTCCCTCTTGGAAGGGCTGGTCCCCCAAAGGCGGTATCTGTGTTGAATACCATCCCTCAGACACTTGGGCTTGTTTGCAAGATTGCAAAAGCGCGCTCGACTCAATTCAAGGGTGGTGTACAAGCACACAAGTGAGGTGCGTGGCGCTTTTTGACTTAGTTCGAGCCCTTCCGTTCTAAATAAACATATATTCCCATCATACGAGATATCTTTGCATGTGGACAGGAACATATAGGAGTATCACACCAATAATTCCGGGGGAAATGCTTCTTGATGTGTTTGTTGTTGTGAATCTCAACCCAAGCTACTTACCCAATTGGGCTAGCATCCAAAGCTTTCCTCACCCTTCCATGGCAACCTCATCACACAACCTCACCGTTCAAAAATCGCGGAACTCATAACCTCCGTTCACCGACATCCGCTTACCTGTACCAAAGAGGAAGATTCAAGATGGATCCTTCACCGGAGCCTCCCAAGACTCCTCCAAACAAATTCCCTGACCCCCCAACACCTCGCGAAAAGACACCCCCACCCAGGATTTCTTGCGACATCAACACCCGTGATGCCCAAGGCCCATTCTACTGGGAGTATCGTAACAAAGGTCCGGACTTCGAAGTTCCTCCTTTGAAGGGAGGTGATTTTGAAGAGCGTCCGACTCTGGAGGAGTGGGCGGACAAGCTAGGATACAAGTAAGCTCATGGCGGTCCAAAACCTAGCACTCACTGACATACCACCCAGGTTGCCATCCGGAGAGTCCGTGTTATCTGGGAGGCCTGATCCATCCGAGCTAAAACGCGGAGCTAAGCTTCCACCTTCCATTGAGGAAATTGATCACCTTCTGAAGAAGGGCGACGAACATCCAACGTGAGGTTTTCCACATTGCGAAATCCACCGCTCCACTGACGTATGGCACAGGTCCGTATCTGGAAGTTCTCCCACTTCAGAGCCGAAATCAAAGCCAGGTGCTTTACTCAATTCGGCCGAAGGTCTACAGGAGAAGGCTGACAGCAAAGTTCCAAAGTAAGCTCATGATGAACCCGAACTTCACCGCTCACTGACGTACCCCGCAGGCCGTCATCTGCAAAATCCGATAAACCGAAGGTAGAACCTGGAGCTATGCTTCCACCTCCCCTCAAAGCGCCCGGAGGCCCGCAGAAGAAGGCGGACAAGCAAACTCCCAAGTAAACCCACACCAAGCCTGACCTCCACCACTCACTGACATAACACGCAGGCCTTCACCTGAGAAGTCCAACAAATCGAAGCAAGAGGGAAGAGGAATGTCCCAACGTCTGCTCAAAGGTGCGGCTCGTCTCCAGGAGATGGCGGACATGGCAAATCCTCAGCAAGCCGAGGAAGACCGCGCCAAGGTCTTCATGGACCGTCTACCCCACGTTCAAGCGGCCTCTCGTCGTCTGCAAGGTCAACTCGGGATCCACGGTGATGAGACCTGGCCCCTGCCACCACCGCCAATCGATCATAATCCCTTCCTGGTCGAAATGAACGCAATAAAGATCCGCGCTGCATTGGAGAATTGCAAGGACTTTGCCGTGACCATCGACCGTGAGTCGGACAAAATGGAGTTTCTTGATGTTGTCGCGATGTCTGGTCAGAAGCGCGTGGTGATGCAAACCGGTCAAGCCCCGGAGATCAAGCTTACTTCTTTCGAGGCTGAGAAGAAAGCTAGAGAGACCGAGCAGTCTAATGCCATTGCACGTATGATGGACGAAGGTCGTCAGGAGGAGTTGAAAGAACTTGAAGACGAAGGCATGAGTGGTAAGTCTGGCGAGGCTTTCAACTTCAAGCATTGCTGACCAAACTTCAGAGGTTCCATCAACTCCAAAATCCCTGTTCCATAGCGTTGGTTCTTCCCTGGCGCCTACCGCCCCTCAAACCAGCCAAGGAAGCAATACAGCAGCAAGTGAAGGCGAGGAATCGCTCTCGGCCTCTCAAGGAGACAGCTCAGTGGATACCGCAGAGCGCGAACGGCGCGAGGAGTGGGAAGAACTCACGAGAGACCCTCGTTTCATTGGTATCGGACCATATGGAGAGCCTGAATATGATGGCCCGCCAACGCCGGATCCAGCGAATAGCTCAGACGCCACTGGTGCCACCCCTAATCCGAGCTATGACTCTGAGGGGAACTCGATACCCCATAACACGCCGACGGCCAGCAATGACGACCGAGAGATGCGCACGTCATCATACGTGACTGGAACTGCCAGCGCTGATTCCGAACATGTCCCGGCTGACCTTACTCCTCCCAGCCGAGAGCTTGGGGCTCTCTCCGTCCATGACAGTGAAATAGGAGGGACACAATCCGTGATCGACGAGGCCATAGCTGTCCTCAACGCTCAAGACAAGGGTAAGGGCAGAGAGACAAGCCCTGGTGTTGATGAGACGATGTTGGCCGGTCCTCGGGCTCAAGATAAGGGCAAACGGCAAGAGACAGGCTCAAGCGTTGGAGACAACTCTGCGTACGCTTCTCAGACTCAACAGAAGGACAAAGCCAAGCAGATGATCTCCGGGTCCCGCGACACCGATATAGACGACGGTGAAGAGCGTCACGGCAAGATGAAAGGCTCAAGCGGAAAACAGCTCGACGTTGCAGCGAGCCTTCGTAACCATTCGGTCACATTCCTTGATGAGAGCCAGCCCAAGACTAAGGAGCGTAACCCACCCGTCCCTCAGCCTCAGAGCATGCCCAATACCTTGACGGAAGCGATCTGCAGCCACATGCCACTGGAAGCTAAACCAATCCTTACGCTGACTCTCGAGCGCATCGATCCGCCCATACCATCTCCAACAGATCAACGATGTGTCCTTCTCAAACACTTTGAGGTCGGCCTGGATGGAGTCGAAGGTCTTTGTCAAGGCACCGCAAAGATCCCAGAGAGTCCACTTCAGACTGCCGAACGCGAGAGGCGCGTTGGGAAGCTGGGAACATTCAAGCAAGGGGATGGAGGCTTTTATAGGTCGTTGAGGAGCGCACAGCAAAAAGACCAGCAGTATGGCAAGGGCTACTGGTACTTTTTCGGAGTGAAGTTCAAGCAAAATAGCAGGGAAAGAAAGCTAAGGAGGGGTGGAAAGTGGCTTGTCTTTGGTGCGCCGATCGAAGCTGTCTACCACCTGGACATAAAGAGAAGTCAAGAAAATGTGACTATCCTGCTCGGCGGAGGGGTGGACAAGTCTGGCACCACGATCAAGCCGTTCAAAGCCAACTTCAAACGTACGCACACTCTTTTCAGCAGAGGCGGCCTAGCTCCCATGGACATCTGGCCAGGTGGAGAAGATTGGGACGATGGGGTGTTCAAGGATATCAGGGCGGCAATGGCAAACAATGGACTCCGAGTCGGCTTCCTTTACGGAGACACCCAGACCTTTGCTCCCCTGCCAAAGGGCTTCCCAGCCGCCGGCAAGTTTCAAGCAGAAAAAAAGCGCAAGCAGTCCGGGGCCGAGATGACAGAGGAAGAGATGAAAGCCATGGAGAAGAGCATGAAGCCCAAGCAATTGTCGGCCGAGGACATCGGTACTATTCTTGCGATGAGCGTCATCAACGACCGGACCAAGCAGGACGCAGCCGCGCGTTCAAAGTAACGCAGCAATGGGACACGTACCTTTGCAACTACACCGACCACGTCGAGGTAGCTTCTACAGACATTAGCATTGAGGATCAATAGGCAGACAGCGTGAGAACAGATGCAAAATTCCTCTAACAGACTCGAAAGTAACTGCGGTCATCTCTAGCTTGAAGTGACAATACTACGTGTAGAGCTTAATACATATCACCACCAAGCGTGGAGATGACTATGATTCACGGAGAAAGAGTGCATGAGTGGAGTTTGACGTTCCGCCCCACCAGCCCTACACTATCGAGACAATAGACTTTTCCCCAGGCTCAAGAGAGCTTGGCGCGCTTGACCATTGGCCGTCTCCGGTCCCCTAAGGCGGCGCCCGCCGATGATCCGCCGCCTATAATGGAGACGGTCTTGTTCATCTCATCATAGTATGTAAGTTATTTGATAATGACTCTCCGAATCTCTGTCTGAAATATCTCGTAGAGGCATCCGTTTCCTGTCGGAGAGTAACAACGACATTCGCGGCCGGAGTTCCTTGCTTAGCATGATTCAATCCCTACTGAACGGCCACTAGACCGCCTCCTCTCTACAAAGCATCAAGGATGATATTTACATAGACAGAGTCGGCGACGAAATTTCCCTTGAGGGCGAATGAGAGGGCAAATGTTTTTGAAATAGGTCGACAATATCAGCGATCGTCTTTGATGAGTTATATTTGGGTAAAGGGGGAGACATTGAGAATTAAGGGAAAGAGGACGTGTACCTCCTTTGGCCTCTACATCCTTGGGTAGGTCTTCCGGTGCCGGCACCGTGGTCACGAGGTTCCTTTGCCATTGCCTAGGCGTTTGACTACGTCTGCAGGTGCCTTGATGGTTGAGAATTTCAATGCGTTGACAACGTCATCCGACGATAGTCGCACTGTCATGATCGGAAAAGCTTTCGTCGCCCAGTGATGTGACGGCCGCGAAATTCTTCTTCGATGCCGTTGTCACGACTTGGAGGCCGCTTGCTACTGCAATTGGAATCGCAGAACTGCCTGCAGATGAGCTGCCTCCCAAAATGGTATTGCCTGGCCCGTGGGCTGTACGCCGTTGCAAGGCAAGGGAAGCGCGAGGAAGTCTGACTAGTACAAGCACAATGGCCTGAGCGAAGGATAGCGAGTCAGGAAGGGGCGCGACCGTGATGTCTGGGAGGACGGGGTCGAGCTAGAAGCCTCCTTGTTTCGAGGCGCTTGTACCGAGGCCTATGCAGTGTCTGGTCGAGGCTGTGGTGTTGACTGCAATGGTGCGGGCGTAGATGCTGCGATAGGGGTTCCAACCCCATCACCCGCTGGCCTTTCTGGATCCCGGTGACGCCACCGCCAAATTGGACGACTCGACCTGCTACGGCTGCTCCGACAGTCTGACATAGATGAGACTGAGTTGGAAAGGGGATGAGATGAAGACTGGGTACAGTGAGATACGACTGGAAGATAAGGTCGAAAGTATGGATCTTCCAACTGACTCGAGGGGCAAGGCGTAAGGATCTTCATGTTGCGCCGGCAGGGCATCATAGCGAACAACTGACTGTGATATACTGCCCAGGCCGCATGCTTAAACGTCAAATTTTAGGGGGAATTTGGCTCCAGGAAGCGATGCTGATTGATTAATCATGATGAAAAATAACACCGAGTTTTGACTTTTCAATAGAAAACTACTTGAGTACCTTAGATGACTCGGCTTCAACAAAGGTATACGTAATAGGACGAGAAAGCATTTCGAGTCTGCTTGCATGACATGTTGAAATGTAAGAAGTAAGAGGTAAGATACAAGATATAAGAAGTCAAACGTAACATGTGAGATATGAAGTGGAAGAAGCGGAATGCATAATGCAAGACGATTAATGATACTGATATATCGCGGACGTTACTTAGGGTCCGAATAGGCCGAGATGGCGGTCTGGGAATATGAGGGAGAGGGAACGGGATTTCTCAACACTGATCTTATCCCATTATGCCGTCATGCATGTACACCCCTTAGATCGGGTTAGTGTCCGCGCTAGATCTAGGATCTGTTTTAATACCTTACTTTAGAAATATTTCAAAATACAGCTACTAAAATATGCATTGAAAACAGTCCTGCACACCCTTCACTACTCAAGTAGTCGGATCCCTTCTCTATGAAACTTAGTCAGGACACAGTAACCTCAACATGCAGCAATAATAATCCCTCACACTTTAACAGGTCTCTCGGGATTGGAATTCCCGAGCACTTTCTCACCCAGCCAAAAACATAAACAAAGGAAGCATGATACGCTTAAACATAGACTTCAGCGTCCGCTGGCACGACCATCTCAACGCCTTCACCCATAACACAACATTGTACCTTTCGACGTCGACTTACACAAACATCTGCCCCACATTCACCCAAATACGGCCGTGTTGCCAAATACCGCATAGGACCACATTGTTAAGGACACTCACCGCTCACCGCAACGAAGGATGGACACAACGAAGCCCCACACCAAATACCGAGCCTCCTGCGATGGGTGCTATCTTGCCAAGCTGAAATGCACAAAAGAGAGGCCGGTATGCCCTCGCTGCAAGAAGCTAGGCTTAACATGCACTTATAGTCCATCTCAAAGAACGGGCAAGCGTCGTGCGCCAAAGTCCCAGACGTCATCTTCAGGCTCAACAACGACAACGACAACACCAACAAGCCCGGCACCATCATCCTCAGGAGTCTTGGAATGGCAGCCGGCTGCATCTTCCCAGGCCAGTACCATGGTGCCAACAGAGACTCTGGCACAACCCTTCGAGAAAGCCCTTTTCGCACCAAACAATGACCCCCAACATTTACCAATGGACGCGACAATGTCGAATTGGCCTAGTCCAGCAAACACGTTACATGACTTTGATTCCAACTTCGTCGCTCCCTGGCCCGGATGTCTGCCCAGTTCAGACAAAGATGATCCTCTGTTCGAAACCTCAGACGATTTTGTAGACGACTTCATTAGCATGACTTCACTACCTTCCCACCATCAGTCCTTCAACGCAACGGACGGGGCACTTAGCCACTTTCTCCAGACCTGCAACTGCTTCGACTCCATAACCCAGACCCTGCATAAGATGCACAATCAATCGCGACGGCCCAGCAACCCCAACCTCGAAGCGACGTTGAGCTGCAGCAAAGAAGTGACCGCTCGGGGCGAGGCATTGCTGAATTGCACATGTACCGAGGACAGCACCCTCGTCATGCTCTTCGCGGCCTTGGTGGCAAAATATCTCTCGCTATATGCCGCCCACATCGACCTCACCTCTTCCTCCTGGACATTCCTCGCGGACATCTCCGCCGCCTCCTCTCGCGTCACGATTGGAAGATACACTATGGATGCGGAGGACGGGGAACGGTTGCGGATAGAGATTATACTGATGGAGCTGCAAAAGTTGAATACACTGTTGATGAAGTTTCAAGGCAAGTTCTCGTCGTCGGAAATGGGCTATGAGAGCCATACGTATGAGACTATGGTTGCCTTCTTGAATATGAGACTGAGGGAGGCGATGGACAAGCTGCAGCGACAGAAGCAGAGATACCAACCCCCTTCGTAGCAAAAAGAAGGCCATGTAGTCGGCAAGTCGACGTGAGAGGGGTCTGTAGGCTTGGTGCTGTCGTGGACGCTGCTCCAAAAAACAATACGCCTCTGCTGGCCCTGCGGCAATGATTGTACATTCAGACACTGCCAACCTTTCCATCTCAGAGCAGGTGCTTTCGATGACTCAACTGCAATAAGCTCGCTTTCTTCAAACCTCTTCCAGTGCAGCCTCAATTAGATGAAGGCTCTTTAATGCTGAGAAAAGTTTTCCAGTGTACGACGAGACAACAGGTCAGTTTGACTCGTACGAACCCTGCACTTCGTAATAGGGCTGCACGGATTCCTCGAGACACGGCTCGTTGCACACGTGTTTGGCACGGTACGGTCCGTGAGTTGGAGTTCGGGCTTGTCCAAGGGTTTGAGATGCGGGCGATGAGTTTGCTAGCCTTTGGAGTGTCGAAGGGGGCCCGCTAATAGTTCGGGAATGGGAAGAAGACACTGCACTATTATATGCTTGGTTCGATGCTGAGACCGGTACAGTATTTCTTATACCGAAACAACAGAAATAAGCTGAATCTTACAACCCATGCACTGACTAGCCCTGAGGGACATTGTATCACACCGTTGACCTACATAGCCTATGCGGCCAGCATACCCTCGCCTCAGACATTTCAAGACCCTTCATCGGTGATTCGCAATGCACGAAAGGTACCTGTAAACGACCAGGTTGTGACACTGGTGCGCCCTTGGTCCGACCAGTAGGTCTTTGTACATATGACGTGTGTCATATTAATGAAGCCAGGTCAGGCGAAAATAATCCTGACAGAATGGTTCTGACAGATACCCCGAAGGAAGGCTCCTCTCGGTCCGCAGTGTCAGGCGATGGTCTTGAGGCGAGCTCTAGCAGACAAAGGCCATATATAGCCAACTGAACTCGGGGAAGGTGGCTCCATCACAGCCGAAATTAACCAACAGGGCTGGATTTGTCTCGCCGTCTTATTAATTCGAGGGTACGAGCACTACACACATCACTGACCTAGAGCAGTCATCTTAAATTCATGAGGAGCGTATGCTCCACCTCTCCGCGTCCCTATACCTGGTGGTGGTGGAAGGATGGGATGCCGCTAGGACGAATCTCCCTGTTGCGGCCTCAGCAAATCGTCGTTGGACAATAAATTCTGGTATGACAAAGTGCCAAAAACCTCATGGATACAGTTTGCAACTAGATTGATGGCAAGAGTAGCAGCAGTATCGTAAAAGTCATCTATCTCTAAAGGAACATTCTATCAAGCTATCGATCTATCAACAGGAGACGGGGCATAATTGACCACTACGCCAACAAATTGTGCTCTGACCCTTGCAACCTTTTGTGCAACGTTGCTTTTGCGGTCTCTACCTGCTGATCTAAATCCTCATGCCATATCCAATAGAATCTTTCATCTAATGTTGCTTTGATCTTGCCAAAGTCTTCCCCGGTGCTCTCGCCGCGCATCATGCATATCTCACCATTCTCTCTGCTAGTGTTTACGACCTTCAGCGTCCGAGGCCGTCTAATCGCGTCGTACGCTGCAAAAGCTTCTTGGATATGCTCAGCCTTTTGGACAGTCTCATCTGCAAGGAGGTTGCACATAACGAGCGCGTCTTCGAAAGCCTGCCCACAACCAGCCCCTTGGTGTGGGGTCGAAGCGTGGGCAGCATCGCCGATGAGCGCGAATTTTCCTTTGTAGAAGGTGGAGCATTCGGGGTGGTCAAAGAGGGCCCACTTTAATGGCTTGTCCATCATCGAAACGACTTTTTGCATCACTGGGCCGCAGCCAGCGAAATCGCTCTTCGCTGCCTCTTTACTCGAGGGAACCACCCACTCGTCTTCCTCCCATTTCTCCAAAGATCGACAAGCCACCAGGTTGAGCAAAGTACCCTTTTCGACTGGGTATGTCGTGGTCAAGCAATCTGGTCCCATGTTCACCATGCTGTTTCTGGCGAACTCCTCGCCAAGAACGGCCACTGCCCTTTCCATAGGAACCATTCCTCGATAAGCAAACTCCCCGGCATATTTGGGGGTCGCCTCGGAGGAGTCCTCTCCCAGAAGAATCTGTCTGCATTTTGACTTGATCCCGTCGCCTCCCACCACGGCGTCCGCGTCCGCAGACTCCCCATCAGCGAAAGTCAAAGTATATCTACCACTGTCTCTTGTCGTAAGATCGACCAATCTCTTCCCCATGTGAAAACTTCCTTCAGGCAAGAGAGAAACCAAGTCTTTCGCGAACAGTGTCCGGTGCACACTCTCCTGTCCCGTGTTGGCACAAATCACCGAAGTGACCAACTCTCCATCGGTCAAGCCATTTCGATAATCCATGTATGTCGTCTTCTTACTCTCCCATCCTTGTCCCGATGAGCGTTTCGCGAACGCCTCATAGATATCGGGACTAATCTTCCTCATGGCGTCCATTGAATTTTTCGCAAAAACCAGTCCTGCCCCCGCGTCTGTCCAGCTGCTCGCACCTTCAAACACTTGAGCTGAGATGCCACGCTGCGTCAAGCCTATTGCGAGAGAGAGGCCGCTAAGGCCTCCACCGACCACAGCAATGTTGAACTGCTTTCCAGGGCTGGCCGCCTTGGCGTCGTCCATATTCTCGGAATACTGTCGGATTCCCATTTTGCTGGTACGTTACTCGATGTGCTTAGATCGAAGCTGTTCAAAAGGAGCTGACTATCTAGACAAGAACTCAAATCTAAGGTACTAGTGCAGCTTACTGGTGGATGGTTTTGTGTTCTTCTCCTGTACAGATTGTGTATCGAAGACCCGTCCTTCTCGGACAATCTTGCTGTGGAGTCCATCGGTGAGTGGCTATCTTGTCGGCCTGAGCCTATGTTCACCGCTTTCAATAAACTCTCAGTGTCGGACTTTGTCATTGCTTTGCAGGGATTTTCGGGCTTCGCGCTCGGGTTCGGCACAGCGCGGGCCGAGCATGCGTAAACATGTCCCACACAATCAAACCTGGAGCAATCCAAGACCGCAGCCTTGCGAATTGTTAAGTCTTTGAAGATATGAGCGTATATTTTGTAAGTTGGAGAGGATTGTGATTCATGCATCTTCAATAGAAAACGCAATGCCTCCAAACCCAGCAGCAGCGGGTGCGAATACCCCTATCATGACTTATGTACTTACTAGCCGTCTCGGTATCACGCGCTAAGAAGTATTCTAGGCTATAATTTCACGTCCACCCTGAGAAACGACACCTACCCAGCCATCGACCCTACCAAATTGAAACTCGGAGGGAAGTACGTCTTCTTAAGTGGAGCTTCGAAAGGCATAGGACATGCGGCCGCCATCTCTTTCGTCAAGGCTGGCGTGGCAGGAATCGCCATCGCAGCACGCTCAGACCTCTCGTCTCTTGAACGAGAAATGCATGAAGCTGCCACGGCGGCAGGCAAACCATCACCCCAGATCAAGTCAATACGCCTCGACATCCTCGACGCTCAAAGCATAGAGCGTGCAGCCCAGGAAACATCCGACACCTTCGGCAAACTGGACATCCTGATCAACAACGCGGGAGCGATGGAAGAGTTCAAACCCACCCTCGACAGCGACCCCGAGCAGTGGTGGCAGACCTGGACCGTCAACATCCGCGGCACGTATTTGCTCACACGGGCGCTGTTGCCTCTGATGCTCAAAGGCGGCGACAAGCAAATCATCATGCTCACCAGCATCGGGGCTTTCATGCCCGCCCCCGGCGGCTCGGGCTACCAGATCAGCAAACTCGCGCTCCTGCGCTACGCCGAGTATCTGAACATCGAGTACGGCGCTCAAGGTGTGGTGGCGTATGGGATCCACCCTGGAGCCATCCCGACCGATATCGGCCTCACGATGCCGTCGTTCCTCCACCACAAGTTGATCGACAAGCCGGCGCTCGCGGCGGACACGATCGTCTTCCTGGTTTCGGAGAGGAGGGAGTGGTTGAGGGGGAGGTATGTTTCGTGCACGTGGGATATGCTGGAGTTCGGCGAGATGGAGGAGGAGATTGTGGGCGGGGATAAGCTGAAGATTAGGCTTGCTCTCTGAGTCACCTTGATCTAGCTGGGTGATCCCTATCAAGACTTGGCATTTAGAATGTTTTTTTTCTTAATGGTGGTACCATTGGGTCTGCCGGAGAGATTCTGCAGCGTCAATGTCAAAAATGTAAAGTTGCATAGTCCCCAAAACACACGGTCTTGAAATGGCACACTGCGGTCGGATACTGACTCATCCTCTCTTGAATTTTCACTGTGAGATTCATACCCGGGTTTCCGTGAGTACGTCTCTCAACGCCAACCGTCTTGATCGGAGCGAATGGGAAGCTATCGGATACTCGATCTCATGCTTTTGACCAATTCCAACTCAACATCCTACACTTTCACATTTCCTCAAACACGTCAACCCAACAGCTCCACTTTCTCTGCACCCATGAGAGCCATACACAAAGCACCGGCGACCACACTCCCGCAGCCACCTTCCTGGCCCTTTTCCGCCCCACTGATGTCCTTCCCGCGGCATCGCTGCCTGGCGTGTTTCTTTGTTTCGGTGGCTTCCAGGCGGTGTTCGGCGACCGCGATGGGGTTTGCGCTGGGCTTGCTGGCACGGGCTTTGGCGCACTTGTTATCAAGTTCCCTCAGCGATGTTGCGGGGACCGGTGTCGAGATCGTGGGCCCTACGTTGCCGCGGTGGTGGTTGTGGGTACGATTGAGGAGGTCTGCGGTGGGTGCTGGGTTGGCGGTGGACGATGTATGTGTCCTCAGTCGAAAGCGATACCTTGGGTTTTCTTCTCTCGTAAGCGATCCCATATCGGGAACGATTTGATCAGGATAGGGTAGAATGCACGCCCAATACAATCCTACTGTATGGATCTAGCTACTATTTCAGCTCGTGTCTTAACTCATGTCTCCCCAGTCTGTGAGACTTGCTCAGGACAGTCGGTGCAGCCACTCAATGCTACTCGTGCATCCACCTGCATCCTCGCCCATCCGCAGCAAAGACAACGCAAATCATAACATCCCTCACGGACCACCGACGTCCCCCCTTCCCACCCCACGGCAAAGGCAAGGCAAACTGTGCGCGGAGTCCGAGCTCGTGGTCGTGCGCCGAGCGCAACCCTCGCCGATGAGAGTTTTAGGCGGCAAGGTCGGCGAATGCGAGGTCACAGTGCCAAGTAGTTGCTTTCGGGATCCACATACATACAATGCCCTCACGAGGAGGGTGAGACAAGCTTTCCACGAGGGTGGATCGGTGATCGTTTCCGGGGCTGGGATGCAGATGTGAATGGCGGATGGGAAGGACGCGTACCTTATTCAAGGATGCCATCTTCCCGACACGAAAGCTATGCCAATAATAGTAAAATGTTAAACATGCGATGCTGAAAGGGATCCGGGGCCCCGCACATTAGCCTTATCATTCGGTTGCTGATCGAGGGTCTGAAGACAGCGGTTTTGCCCGGAGGGCCTTGCTTTGTCTGGAGGTGAGCCCGCGGGGCGCCGAATGTGACTCGCTATGAATTCAGATTTCGGATTTCGGAAGTCTTGCGATTGGAGGAAAATGTCGACTTGACTCCGGATACAACATAATTACCCTGACTAATCGCCGGCTCCCAGTACTCATCACCACGGCATACATGCATCATAGTACATCTATGTCCTCGCTGTCGTTGGTCTCGGGTGAGTAGACCGAGCATCGTGCTATCACCAGCGCCGGGTGAGATATATGCTCAATTGCTAAATCTCAGTATTACATCATGTTCTCACGGAAATCCGATGTCTTTGTCACGGCTATCACCGCAGCACAGCCTTATGTGAAGGAGTAGTCGTAACCCTGAGGCCGGTCTGCTTCGTCACTGTTGACTACTTCGCCAGTGGTGGGAGTCAACGAATGAGAGTGTCGGATGGCTAGGACATCGAGTCTTCTTCTCTCGTCAGCTGACGGTAACTTTGTTAATGACAAGGTTATAATGAAGTATATGTAGAGCTGACGGTACGCGAAAAATGCCTCATGCGTGACGCAATCATGCACCGGATTCTTTCGGCTACACTAATCAAGCGAGCCAATAAGTAGTCGGAAGGTTTGACTGTGGGAGGCTGACTGTACGGAGTCAAATTGTCGCTCATGTCACAGTGCAGTCCGAATGGCCGAGATAGCGAGACGCCGAAACAGCGGTAGGTGAACAAAGTGCGGAAAACCCGAAGGGAAGGAGGGATGGGAAAAGTGCGCGGCCACTGGCGATGGGAGCGAGTTGCGGGGGCGGCTTATGGAGGGTAATCCCGAGGGGCAGAAAGGTTAGGGATCTTCGTAGGATGAGATGGTAAGGTAGGATGAGGACTTAGCATCAATACTACCCTCATCCCGCGCAACTGTATGCACGGTGTTGCGTAGGGTCTAGTCTGTGCACGTATTTAAGACCAGCCTGCCTTAGCCTCACTCCATCACTCGGACTACCTAGAAAGACTGTGCTGCCTACAGAAAGACTGTGCTGCCTACAGAAAGACTGCCCTGACTAAGATTACCTCTTTCCCTCATCATCCCTCACCCACTCACTCCAACATCAAGATCAACATGGCATCAAAGGTCATCATCGTGATAGGAGAGCTTCCTGAGGTACATGACCAAACCTTCATTTTTGCTTAGAAAAACCATCATTAGCAATCGTTTCAGGGCATCAGCCTCGTGGTCTGTGAGTACCTCCTCCAAAAGCCACAGTCTGCGAGGCTCGCCGTCGTCGGCCGCGGCAAGCAACAGCTGGAAGACATCAAATCGCCAATTGCAAGTGCTCGCCGACGACCTTTCCGATTCCTCGCTAGGAAAACAATCAGTAGACCTAGCATTGTCAAGACGGGGCAAATTGGATGCTATGTGCTCAACCCTGGTGTTTGGGACCGGTCTCGATAGGATTGCAAACCATAACCCACATGACTGCAGGAGCTGCTCCGAGACCAACCTTTTCAGCTCGATCGATTCCGTGATTGTTTTACTTTGCACATCTCTGAGGATCACCTTACCCGCAGCGCTGAGATCGCAGCGGCGCTGCCATCTCTCAGCACCTTGAAAGGTAAATTCGTCCTCACGTCGTCTGATGCCGGTTCAAAGCACTTCACCAATGCGGCGCGTATAGATGCTCGAAAGCTGCCATAGATCATCTGGCCACGGAAGTATCCATCGAAGAGCCTGAGGCAACCACCGTATCTGTCAAGCCTGGAGTGGTCAATACGGAGATGCAGAAACAAGTAGCGATCCAAACATGCCGCCGCACAGGACCCCAAAGATGTGGAGCAATTCACGAGCCTTCACGAGAAAGGTGCTTCGCTCCAGCCATATCAGCCAGGAAATGTTTTGGCGAGATTGGTCTTAGATTGGTCCGAAAGGATCGAGTGGGCAAAGCTTGACCAAGGACGATGATTCGTTGGAGGATTTTCAGGACTCAACAGGTGTGAAAGGCCACCAGTAGAGGTAATGTGCAATGTGGTATCTCACGACTTGTACTATGGAGATGCAAGGAATGGGGGATGAATACTGCAATTTTACCAAGACCGCCATTTTAGGTGATAGAAATGTATATTACAGCATTCATCCATCTCCCAGCCTTCTCCAAGAAAATGTTTCGTAGACCGGTCTCTCATACCTGCCGTTTGCACTAACATCCCCTCGGAAATTGTACTACAACAACTTTCAAACGTTAGTCTGGTGGTCGTGCAGGCAAAGTTTTAGATTTGCTAGTAAGCTTCAACCCTCGCACCAGGAATGTTTCGGCGTAGAAGCGTTTTCGTCGAATCAAAGACTTTATCTGTGACCCTTGGTTACAACCGGCTGACTCTCAACAACAAATCGGATAGTAGTGACTAAATCCTCCCACATAGGCGAGGAAAAAGGGCCTACACCGTTCGGCGAACCCTTATGCTAGCTGCATTACAGTCACCGAGCAGAGAATAGCAGCGGTCCTTACCTAAGACTTAACGCACAATTTCGGCCTTCATGTCCGAAGGCCCCTCCGGCATTGTGTCTAACAATGCTATATCAATAAAACAAGCCAAAGACATGAACTTTCGTCTGTGATTTTCCTGTTTGCAACGCCTTCATTGTCACCCAAACTAGTCCTCATGGGCTCTCTACCAATGGAAACCTCCAGTGTTGATCACCAAAACGACCTCCTCGTCATCACTTGCGCGAGCGGAAAGCAAGGTTCTGGCCTTGTCCCAAGGGTGGCCAAAGACTGGCGCCGCCTGCGTCTCGTCTGCCACTCCACCAAGTCGGAGGAGTGGCTCAAGCGAGAATACCCCCGAGCAGAAGTCATCCGTACCGATCTAAGCTTACCGAAAGAGCCTGAGCGCATCCTCAAAGATGCAACAGTCATATACCACGTGGAACCACCGTTTGCCCATCGGCAGAATGTGATGGGGTTCAACATGATTGATGCCGCAAGAAAGGTAGCCAAAGAGGGCACATTCAAACATTTTGTGTACGCATCCGTTTTGAACCCGCAGTTGCGAAAAGTAAGCCTACACCGATTTCCAGCATCCCAAATTCCAAAGGACTTGCGTTGACGCTTAACACAACAGATGATCCATCACGACCAAAGGCTCCAAGTGGAAGAATACCTCATGGAGTCCGAACTGAACTACACCATCCTCCAACCCACCCATTTCATGTTCCTCTTCCCCGTCGCACCCATGCTCGCACAAGAGAACCCCGTCTACAAGGCCAACTGGAACGCCAACATACCCTTCTCCTTCATCGCACTCAGCGACCTCGGCGAAGTGGGCGCCAAGGTGCTCAACGAGCGCGAAAAACACTACACGGCACAATACCCGCTCTGCGGCGACGGCCCGCTCAACTACCAGCGAATCTGCGACATGGTGAGCCAGGAGATTGGGAAGAAGATCGAGTTGAGGCAGTTGACATATGAGGAGTCTGTGCAGGCGTTTCTGATGCGGATTTTTGGAACGTTGGATGCCGACGCCGAGTCAATTGATGCGGTGGAGCGTATATTGTTGTACTATAATCGCCATGGGCTTATAGGGTCGAGCAATGTTTGCGAGTGGTTGCTGGGTAGAAAACCGACTAATTGGCTTGACTGGATGAGGGCGGAGATTCAGCAGATTAAGCAGCAGGCTCACTAGACAGGTTGGGGAGGGTAGCTACGACTGAATGATGTGATGAGAGACGCATAATTTAACACCACGTTCTTCGGTATACCTTATGCCTTTTGAAACATTTCGAACTTGGAATACATAGGGATTGGACCAAAATGGGCAGACAATCGTCCGACCTATGAAAGTGAAGAATGCTACCTCAACGAAGATTATAAATCTTTAAGAGTCTGATATAGTACCTGATGCACAAGGGCTGAGAGCCTGAGCATTCATCATCATCATCATCATCATCACCATCACCAGGCGTGGCGATAATAGTAGCAGGATACACGTAGAAAAAGTGAATGAGTGGAGTAGAAATCCAGCCCTACCAGGACAACAATAGACTTTCTCCATGCGTGGGCTCAAAAGAGTTTGGCGCGCGTGACCCTGGCCCAGACCCGCGTCATTTTCAATGGCTGGAGGCTGGATTACTTTAGTTGCTCATCCCTACATTTGCTCAACCTCTTCATCCACCACACATCTCACCATTTCACAGACCTCTACATACAAAGCACTACACTTCTCCCTCATCACCTTCGCCATCTTCACCCTCACTTCATCTCCGAAGCGTTGCAACGCCCTGCAGGTTTCAACACTCCATGGCCTATTCGCCCTCACCGCACATTGCCAGTCTAGCAGTAGCTGGCAGCTCCTCTCGATTTAACCGTCACTCACCATCCCCACCTTTGCAACACCCTATTTCCAAGCGAGACAAGAAGCGAAACGTCATGGAGAACCGCCTCGCTGAAATAAGCAGCTCTTTCGCCGAGAATCGCGACCACCTCTACCGCAAGCAGCTACAGGCTTTACAAGCAGACATGAATTACATTCAAGCTGCACGTCTCTACGATAATGTGCCGTTGGACGAGATTGGAGACGAAGGACCGGAGGAAACCAATGCAAGTCCTGCTGCCAGCACAGCGGGTAGTCTTCGAAACGCCCATCAAGCCCATCTGAATGGCCATACGAGGCTCGAAGCTCCACAAAAGACTGGGCCACAGACTGCTGAATTTATACAAGAGATCAACGATGCCATGGAACAGAGGGACGCAGATTTGACTACCGTCGTGGTATGCAATACATTGCCCCAGCCCCCAGCCCCAGATGGTCCTCTCATCACAGCACTTGTCGCAAGCGCCCAAACTGATCCAAACGCGTTGATAGTACCGCCACAATTTCAGAATCAGAGAAGTGCAGAAAGATAACATGTATAACGTGGAGGTCGCACTCAAAGAGCATCGCCTCTTGACCGAGAACGTGCGCCAACGTCTAGTCCATAGCGTCAACCAGAAGAGATCGGCATTGCTCAAAGATAAGGAAAAGCTTGATATTGCTGATACCAATGCGCTTCTGTTCCACCCGAATCAGTTCAGCATCAACAACTCTGCAAGCCCTGGAGGCCCCCACAGCAATCGCAAGACTCGCCACGCTCGTCACCGCCTCGAGGCCGAGGAACTTGAGCCCGTTGGTGGAGCGAACAATAAGCGAAAGCGCAAAGCGGTTATAGACATCGAGAATGGCTCTCCTGGACCCGCTGGACGTGACACCGAGCCAAGCAATCCACTCAAGGAAGCTAACGCCAGACTTGAAGCTCACCAAGCCTCTACTCCACTCTACTCTGTCGACCGCCTTTTCTCTGCTCGAGAGTTGGATGTGAACCTCCAACAGGCTTGCTACGATGTCATCGCGGAGCAAAGCGCCAAGCGTCGTAGAATCAATGCCGACAGCCAGACTAACGGAGCTTCCACGGATCCCTTCGCTCACGCCCTAAGCGAATCAGACGATGGTTTTCCGCAGCCTGAGTATGGCGCAGATGGTGAAGCTGAAGAATTCCTAGCCGCAGCGGCGATGATGGAGCGCACTAACACTCAGACGTCGACTCAATACCACACTACGCGTTCTACCCGCAAAACCAACCTTAGCAACAGCCAATCCGCACGTGAGCAGCTCGGCGAACTTGCAGGTCGTGAAGCTGCAGTTCCTTACATTGGGACCTATTCGAAAGAGAAGAAGCGTGAGGAAGAATATCAGCGTGCGCCGCCTTTGAGTGAGCTGGATGCGGAGTCAGACATGGCTTTGTACGAAGCAGCCATGAAGGATGATGACGCCACTAGGGCAGCGAATGAGAAGCTGCTGGACGAGGTGGTCGAAGAGCTGGAGGATCACGTCTGTACGCCAATCGAAGAGAAGATAAACTCTTTCTGCCGGGCCGATCTTGAGGTGGAGGCTGCGTGACTGTGGTTGGAGGAAACCGGCCACGAAATGATCCATGGATGCATTTACGATACATGTCAGCAAACGGGTTCTGGTTGACTGTCTCCAGGAAACGAGTATTGCAGCATTCTCGCCCTGCGGTTATCAGCAGAGCGTCGGGTTGAGACTGTCGAGGGTCTCATCGTGAGGGGTTTCGTGGTCAAATGTCTAAAGCCATTCGCAGCGTCAATTGCGGAGTTCCAGGGAGGACGTCTCGAGAACAAGGCGTTTTATCGCTATGATACCCATCATGTCATTTTCCATGTGATGTCTGTAGCTTGCAGATATCAAAGAATAACTATCACAAGATTGATTGTCCCAGAGTCATTTGAACGTCATGCCATAAAATACGATTGCATTGTAGCACAAGACGTAAATTCATCCCTCCCCCACTCCGATCACCCTTTCGGCTCATACAAGCACTCCCTTGCCCCCCTCCACACCTCCTCCACGATCGCTCTGCCTGGCAGTAGATTCTGCATCACGACCGATCGTCAGCTTCCGGTTTCCCCCAACCAACCCAACTGTATATAAACTTTCCCAATGTCCCACTTTTACCATACGCAGCCACTCACCGGAAACACAACCACAACCTCCCCCTCCCCCTCCACCACCACCGCAAGGTAATATCTCACTTCGAAGCCCCTGAACGCCTCATGTATAAAGATGTCCCGGATCTGTGACGTCGGTATGAAGCGCGTATCGCTGGGTAAGAGGTAGGAGGAGGAGAGGGTGCTCGTTTGGATGCCGAGGGTGCGGAGCGTCAGGAGGGACTCTTCTGTGTTGTCGCAAACGGACGATCAGCGGAGAGTCAGGAAGGAGACCGCCCAGAACCCAACCGAAGGGCAACGGAGCGCCGGATCCTGCGAGGAAGGGAGCGCGGTCGGAGTGGCATACCCGTGTGGAATCTCCGAAACACGAGGAACAGACTCGTGAACGCTAGGGGCCCGACTTGCACCCAGGGAAACCGAGCCAGGTGTTCCGAGAGCGGGGCGAGCGGGGGGGACGGCGGGTTCGATGTTTTGGCGTAGAGGACCAGGAATGTTGCGAGCCCGAGCAGGATCCGGTGGAGGAGGAGGAAGTAGTGGAGGAATTGGGATGGGAAGGTCTGGCGCGGGGAGGCGGTGGAGACGGTGTAGGAAACTGTGGAGGGGGAGGGGCGGAGGGTGGTTAGGTGGGGAGGTGTGGTTAGCATGGGTGACGGTTGGGATCACATCGTTGGTGATGGAGCTGTAGGAGCCCTGGCGGTACCTCAGAGGCTCTTGCTTGCGGAGACGAAATGATGCGGGTTTTTGATAGGGCTGAGATCAGGAACAGGTCTAGCGCCGGCATCGATACTCGCCGATACATTTCTGCGTCCACGTTGAGATCGAAGAGAGTACGATAGTTTCGTTACCACCGATCAGCACTTCTGTTCTCAAACGACCATGCCACCTTCGCGATCTCGCTCTCGCTCGCCATCCCCATATTCCCGCAGAATGGCCCTATCCAACCACCGCCAGGACCGACCAAGGAGCCGCTCCCCGCCCCGAAAGCCCGCCTACTCGCCCTCTCCTCCCCGCAGAGATCGCCCGCGAAGCAGATCTCCGAGACGAAGACATGATGATAGACCTAGACCATCGGGCGGTGGGTTCAGGTGGAAGGAGAAACCGCGGTATGACGATGATGAGATGGACGGGCGGGGGGAGAGGAGGTTGGAGAGAGGGTATAGGGAACAAGAAAGGGAGAGGCCGCGGCCGAGGTCGCCTGATCGGAGGGATGGTAGGGGGAGGGAGAGGGACGGTGATGTCGAGAGGAAGTTTGGGAAGGGGAGGGATGTCGAGGATAAATTTGGGGGGAGGCATGATGGGGCAGCGAATTCTGGGAGTAGAGATGCAGACAAGCCCCAGGAAAAACCAAAAAAGGAAAGGAAACCCGCGCCTGCGCCATCAGGGGAGCCCATGATCATCGTCAACGTCAACGACCGCCTGGGGACGAAAGCGAGCATTCCCTGCATGGCGAGTGATCCGATAAGTATGTCCCACCCACCCACGTTACATACGTCCCCCAGTCAGTTCCGATGGTATGGGAACCTGGGCAGAAGCTGATTTGGTGGCATGTACAGGGCTGTTCAAAGCAGTAGTCGCAGCCCAGATTGGCAGACAGCCGCATGAGATTATGCTGAAGAGGCAGGGAGAGAGGCCTTTCAAGGATCAGCTTACGCTGGAGGATTATGGGGTTAGTAACGGGGTGCAGCTGGATCTGTATGTTCACATCTGCCTTTTGGGGTTGACTTGAGGATGGCCGCTAACGGTGTTTATAGGGAGGTTGATACGGGTGACTGAAGAAACTATGGTAGGGATTTTGCTATTCAGCATTTGGACCATGGGCGTTGGGGTTGTGGCATGCAAAGGGATGAATGATACCTTAGGCGAGGGCGTGAGAATGTCAGAAGAAACTTTGACAGAATGGATGACTAGTACAATGGATGGATATGGAACATCTATTCTCCCTGGCTCCAATATCGACAGGTGTTGTTACATTATATGAAAACAGATAAGTCTACTAAATCTGACGCAGCCATTGACCGCTAGGAAACGCTCAAGAATCTCAACGAATGCCCTCCACCATTGGACGAATCTCCCACAGCTTGCCCTCTGACCCACTCACTCATCATATCTTACTCCACCAGGATACCTCTGAGCAGCCGCAACCGATCCGTTCCATTTCCCTTCACTCATCAAAGGACTCATGCACAGACGCTCTTCGCAATCCATCACATTCATAGTGCGTCGTGGGCGTGCGGGAGGCAACAATGACGCAGTAGTCGCAGCCTATGGCTGCGCAGAATGCGTGGCCTTCGGAGCTGCCACCGGGGCAGGCGATCATGCCGCAGTGTAGATCCGAGCGAAGGGCTTGCGGAAGCGTGGTAGCTAGAGAGGTGGGTGCCGCAGGAAGAGCGATTGTAAGTGCCGACGTCGTGGAGAGAGTAAGAAGCACGGAGGCGTAGAGATGATGCATTGCTGCTTGGGAGATGATGGAGAGAGGGCTTGTTGGCTGCGAGTTTATTGTTGCAAGCGTTACTAATGGGGGAGTTGGTCTCGAAAAGGGGGCTGGATGTTTTCAGAAATTATTTGATGAAAAGCAGAGAACCCCCGGGATTGTTGATAAAGGTGCCAGAGTGCACGTCCCCCCTTCTCCTCCGCCTGTCCTCTTGTTGGGCACTCTACGTACCTATACGATCTCAGTATGATGGCTTGTTGCAGCGGAAGAAGTATCAAGAGACAAAAGTATCGAATGCGAATGAGGGAATTTGACCAGTGCATTACGAGCGCTAAGTTTCCCTCGTAGTCATTTTCCACAAAAGGAAAAAGTGAGCGAGCGAAAAAAAGGGATAGTCAGTGAACAGCGAATTAGCCATGGTCTCAGTCTGAGATGACGGTCTTTGGTACTGACGATTGGTATATCTTGAGCGTGATGTGCGTGAAAGGAGATCAAAGCGACATGTTGAACCCGAGATGCAAGATGCGATGTTGGGGCTTTTGCGCACGGTCCCAATCGACATTGTTCGCCTCGGCGGATGTTCCTCCGCACAGACAATCTCCAATGGAAAGGGCCCCAAGCCTGCTCGCAACCTGGGTGCAGCTACGTCGCCCACACTTGTCGTGCAAGTATATGACCGGCAACTCCAAGTAAAAGAGGGCAGATTGCAGCTCAACGATGACAATGCAGTGATGGGCAGGAATGTACCCACAAGAAACAAGAGACAGAATCAATGATGACCGAGTCTCGCTCTATAAGCTTGAAAGCGAGCGGAGACATCTTCGCCGTTCCAAAGATCCGTACCATCTCCTGACGAGCTAAGCTTAGGTACGCCAACCTGCTCCACCACAAAGCTCGCGGCGACATTGCCGGCACAGGCGGCAAAGATAACATCTTCAGAACACATAAGAAGAGTGATTGTTAGAGCTCCTAGGAAGGCATTGCCAGCTCCTGTAGTGTCAAGCACTTTGGAAACGCGGGTGATGGCTTCGGTGTTGTCTTGAGGAGCATAATAGGCAGGCAACCATTTTTGCTCGGTGTAGCTTTTGACGAAGCAACCCTGGTCTCCTGCCCTTACTACCAGGGCAGTTTGCGGAGTGGATCCGTCATCTTGAGGATGGAAGAAGGGAGCACAAAGATCCTCGAGGAATTTTTCGTCGGGTATCGGCGGTACCTTCTTGTTCACGATGCGAGCAAGCTCAATGTGATTCGGCGAGAAGACGTTCACTATCCGCATAGCTTCAACAAATGCTTGCAGGTTCTCCGGCACACATGAGTAAGCTTTTGGCTCCCAGACGACTGTTGGTCGAGCGGTAATACTAGCTGCTTTGCGTAGCTCCTGTAATTGAGTGGTTTGCTCAATGATTTGAGTAGGGTCGACAAAGAGATGAAAGCCACGGGACGTCAATAGACGTGTATTACGCAGATGTTCAGGCTGAATGGTTAAGGTTGGAGTGATGTATTTGAAGACCTTGGCTGAACGATTAACCTGTTGTCAGATCCCGACGCTCTAGCCTCGTGGATGTGGAAGCATTACTTGCGAAGGTTGAGTCCAGGTATTTGAGCTGGCCTCTAGTAGATGGACATTTATCCTCTTGGATGACTGACAATGTCATACCCCATGTCTCTAGCTGCCTTAGCGTTTCCGCCGGGAAGTCGTGACCTTTGCGAATGGTCCAGCCGACTTGAGTGGATAGATTCTTGGGAGAGAAAAGGCGGGCTCCGAGACTAGCTGTACTCGTTACCATCTTCGTCATATCCCAAGTCTGAACATTTACCAAAACACCCCGAACCACCAATAACATTCTCAACTACCTTTCCGCAAGGCAAATGGACTTCGTCCAGGATGAGCATGCCAAGGGATGTGAAAGCGATGAGGTCTTCCACATTCGCCATTGCATAGCTATATCAGACAGCTTGTCCTACCTTGGTAGAAAAATAATTCTCAAATCCCATTTGTGATAAAAGTGAGTATCAAAAGCAAAGGTGGCTGGTATTACCTTACAAAGACTTAGCAGTATGGCGCTAATTGCCCCGCGGCGACGGCGCGCCAAGGGCGGCGGAACAATTTCTAAACTTTTTTTATGACGAGCTTTCAGCTTTCCCGGCTTGTGTGATTGAAATCGACCTCTTCCACAATGAACGCTTCCACTTCTGTCTCCTTGCTTCCTGCATACACTGGCAGACCATCTTTTGTGGGCAGCATGCTTCTCTAACAGACAAATCATCCACAGCGGCATTCACTTACCGTGGAATCCACACCGCAAGCCTCTCTCGTCGAGCCTCCTTTCACTCTCCAATCCGTACGCAGAAGATTCCATTTCCGTACCTTGGTTGTTCAAGGTCATTCTTCTCCTTCATCAATTCATAGACGCTTCGATACCACATCCCAACTCATCTGAGACAAGATGGTCCGCAACCTCGTCGTACTGGGGGGCAGCTCCCACCCGTCGCTCACAGAAACCATTTGTGACCACCTTGGCCTTCCGCCTGGCAACGGTAAACCAATTGAAGGTGTTTTCACGGTTATGGGAAGGCGCTGAAATACCGCTAGTACTTCTCAGCAAATTCAGCGTTGGCGAAACTAGAGTCGAGATCAAGGAGAGTGTTAGGGTACGCAATACCCATGAAATCCTTCATCGATCCTGCACTCTGAGTATCGAGATAATTATCGATATCAAAAGGCCGCTTTCGCATTTAAGATGACTTTTAATCTATGTTTTGGCCATGAAGTAGCACTGCTGACTGTCAGATGTCTCTAGGGCAAAGACGTTTATATAGTATGTCCACAACGATTCGAATGTCTCCTGCATTGAGCTCGACTCTAGTTGCAAGATGCGTTTCGGGAGCAAATTCCTTCTCCCTCCATACACCTTTCTTATAGCTCACGTTTTCGCTTTGAAGAAGCAATGTTGACTCCGACCCTACTTAGATCCAATCAGGATCAGAGTTCGTACATCTCGGAGTGATCCTTTTCCAAATGGAACCCGGACCCGAGTCGCAAGACATGTTGCGGGAGCAGAATGGAGTTTTTGCTTCCGGAACCTACTTTATAACTCTGATACTTGGCTTGAAGACGCAATGCTGACTTCTAATTGTGCGTAGCAAGGTGAATGACAACCTCATGGTAAGTATTCTCGGAATCTATGTTCTGTTTCAACCCAGGTTCTATATGCTCTGTTTCTTGAAGATGCAACGCTAATTCCGAGTCTTTTTGCAGGAGTTGCTCATAACCTTATCAGCTTGCAAAACTGCATCCGCGCGAAAGGTTACTGCAGTTCTGCCGGTCAGCATTCCCTTGAAGTTGTGTGGCTGGTTTTAGTGCTGATAGCTGTGCAGCTCTTTCCTTATTCGAGACAAAGCGGTACCTATCCTTATCCTACCTCGTCTCACATCTGCATCTAAGTGACCCGCAGACATCCCGTACTCAAAGAGCGGCGCGCCATTGTCAAAGGCTTCGAATTGTTACAACAAGCCGAACTTTGCCTACTCGTGAGTCATCATTCCATTGATCGGATCGGTACGATCGGATCGTAGGATTCCTTGAGACCTATTATGCTCCTTAGCCTTAAGTCCAGGCTAAGCAATTGCCTCGAAAAGTCATGCTGATCAATTCCTTGAAGGTTTGAAAGCACACCATCAACGCCCCATCCAGACCTACTCCCAACAGCGGGATTGGACGGTGTAGACGGGTTGAATAAAGATCTGAATAAGTGGCAGCTGGACAACGCTCGTTCTGCCAACCATCATCCTAAGCGTAGCAACACAATGGACTCGACAAAATCTGATATCTCTACCCGTCTCAACATATCGACTGATGATGCAAGCCAATCTTCAAACTCCTCGAAGGAAGTTTTTCATGCACGGCCGGGCTATACGGCTTGGGTCTCACAGGCAGTAAGTTTGGAGCCCACATTTCCACCTCTGAGCAAAAATATGAGTCAACAGACATGTCGGCTGGAAGCTGAACGCTCCTTGAATGTATCTCAACACTCGAAATTCTTATCGGAACAGACAATGCTGACTCTCAAAACTTTATCCAGGGGTAAGAACAAAGTTCTAGATCATCATGGTGTTCTAACTAAAGATATGCAAGGACTTTGGTTGCTGATCTGCTCACGTGTGCCGGCGCCGATCATGTCATCGTAAGTTTACTTTGTGGAGTGTTTCATCCAAATCACATACCATATCTTGAGCCGTAAGACATGTTTTGAGAGGATTTGCAGTCCTCTGACTTTTTCTGTTCTTCAAAATTCAACGTAATGAAGAAATGCTGACTTCCAAATCTTGAAGACCATGGATCTTCACGACCCTCAGTATCAAGGTTTTTTCGTATGTCACACAAAGGAAAGTTCAGATGCATTCGCTGACTACTGCTATCAGGACATACCAGTGGACAATTTGTACGACTCCGCTAGATGAACGTTCGGTCAGATGCTGACGGCTTAGCAGGTATGGACGGCCAATCCTGAAACGCTATATCCAGACGAGCATCCCAAATTGTAAGTATTTTGACAGCAATCCTTACAAGACCTTGGACGCACTTCGGTCCGAATAATGTGCTCTCCGAGTCATGTGCCTCTCTGTATCTTTGCTAGTGCTATACACTCGGCTTGCCATTTGCGAAGGCAGGTGCTGATTCCAGCCCTTGTCTAGACCAACAGGCCGTCGTCGTCAGCCCTGATGCTGGAGGTGCCAAGAGAGCCACTGCCATTGCCGATAGTTTGGGAATGCCTTTCGCTTTAATCCACAAGGTATAAATACTTGAATTACAGCGAAGTGAGGGCTGATCCAAGTCTACAGGAACGACGACCCACCAAAATCACGTAAGTATCTTTTTAAAGTCATGTTTCGTAGAAGGGTTGCTCATCTCTTCTACATTCTCCAAGCTTGCCTTTCCAAGCCCCTTAAATGCTACGAGTGCAATGCTGATTATGAAAATTTTAGAGACCGCCAGAACGCGACCATGATGCTTGTTGGAGACGTCGCGAACCGTACAGCAATCCTCATCGATGATCTAGCAGACACATCAAATACTATCACGAGGGCTGCCAAGCTTTTGAAGAAAGAAGGCGCCAAGAAGGTCTATGCCTTGATCACGCATGGAGTGTACGCGAAACACTCGCCGTTCCTCCACACGACCTAGCTGACACATGACACAGGCTGAGCGGAGATGCCATCGAGAGAATCAACGCATCTGCCTTGGACAGAGTCATTGTGACCAACAGCGTACCCCAGGAGGAGCATGAGAAGCTATGCCCAAAGCTAGAGGTGCTCGATGTGGGCCATGTATTCGCAGAGGTACCGTATCTAGTCGTGACGTTATGGCCGGAATTAACAAACGTCCAGGCAATCCGGAGAGTTCACCATGGGGAGAGCATCAGCGTGCTCTTCCAATATGATTGAGAAGTCTACTCCTCAGTCCTAAATCTACTCCAGGCCATTAAAAGTTGGAAATTGCGATTTGAAAAAGGAGGTTGGAAATCAGTCTGTCTGTGCATTCACGAGTCATGCTTGACCAAGTGCTGGAGAGAGCACAAATGACTAGATAGGTTCCAGGGTGGTCTTCTCTCAGTACTAGAACGGACGAATGTCATGCTGTATCCATTGTCTTCCCGCTGCCTCTGCCCCACCAACATTCCGCAACGTTTTTGCCCGGCGATATTGCTAAAGCCGAACTGCGACGGAGTGGGCACGCACGCTATGCTCAGCAGAGTCCAATCACATCTTGATCTACGCTGCATTGTACCCTTTCCCTTTACTATCAATGTTCAAGTCCTGCTTTCAAATCTTCCCTATCATGAGCCGTATCCTCTGCATTCTTCTGATCGGTAATGGGATTCTCTCGCGAATGATCTGCCCGCAATTTTGCCACATCCCCGCGAAATCCGCGGCTAATAAGCCGAGCCCTGATGACGTGCTGAGGGGGTGACAAATGGCCCAATTGCATTACTCAACATTTCAATTGTCGAGTGATCACGAATTCTCTTGACAAAGATTGTCGGATATGGGCTATATAAGTCTGCTCGCCATCGTGTTTCAACTGACATTCTTTCTCTCACAGATCATACCTAAACCAATTACCATAGAGCATTATCACAACGCTCGCAACAAAGAAAGTCACAATATTCTCAAGCATTACTTGATCACTATTGCTTCAACTTAATCACATCCGCAAAACCACCATGGCAACCACCACTCAAACCATCGCCGCGCCCCCACAAATCCAAGTCTCCCACGACTCTGCCTACATCCCTCGAGGTTCTGTTACCACCAAGCTCCAGTTCTACCAAGCCCCAGCCGACGGCTCAACACCTTTCAACTACGTCGAATCGCCCCCAGAAGGCCAGCCCCAGCGCAACTTTGGGGACACTGATCTTCGAGTCACCATCCACGATATCCGGGGCCAAGAATCCAGCTTCAACATTGACACCAATGCGTTCGTTACATTGACCACATCTCCCTCAGCCGAGGAATCATTCACGGACGACGCCTCTATCAAAGAGAACTACTACCCCGAAGTGGAAGCCCTCCTCCTCAAACACGTTCCCGGCGCCAAGCGCATTCTCCTTTTCGACCATACCATCCGCCGCGCCACAGGCAACCGAAACCCAGTGACCCGCGTGCACATCGACCAGACCACCAAGTCCGCCACTGCGCGCGTGCACCACCATCTACCCGATGAAGCCGAAGAGCTGCTCAAAGGCCGCGTGAGGATTATCAATGTATGGCGCCCTTTGAATGGGCCTGTGCAAGCTACACCACTTGCTTTTGCCGACTCGACGACAGTGAAGGATGAAGACTTGATTGGTATTGAGCACCGGTACCCAGATCGTACTGGAGAGACGGCGGCAGTGCAACATGGGGACGAGAAGTGGCACTATTGGTCTGGCATGGAGAACAATGAGCGGTTGTTGCTGGAGTGCTACGACAGTGAGAAGGGCGGACGAGTGCCCCACACCGCGTTTGTGGACCCAAGGAGCCCCCAAGGTGGGAAGGAGAGGGAGAGCATTGAGGTTAGGGCACTGGTATTTGGGTGAACCTTAAGACGACAACCTTTGTTATTAGACAAGATGGTAGCGAATAACGAGAAAAGGAATGCATTGGAGAGGCGGGTATGATTTGCTGCATTTAGGGCTGGTGAGGCATTGGTGGGGCATATTAGCGTTACTTACGCAATCATATGTATTAGTTATTCATATTAAATTCGAACCCATTTTAGCAGAAGCTCTTCCAATCAGATGAACGTCTGAAATAGCACATGATTTGTTGGTCTTGATGCTAAGTAAGTAATGTATGCAATTGTGCGATATGACAAAGTTGCATGTTGGATGATGGCATTCCTGTAATGGATATCGGGACCGATCCCTGAGCGGATCTCCCGTCTCAAGCTTTTAGCGTGGAAATTAGTGAATTCCGCCAGCATCCGATGCTGGATTTGTAAGATATCGTAGGTACTTCCGTATATGCAAGCAAGGGTAACGGAGTCAGCGTCAGCGAGATGACTCTTTCGCCTTGACTTACTTTACATTTGACCTCCCACTGTCGTTATCATTCTCCCTCTCTTCCTTTTCCCTTTCCCTTTCCCTTTCCTTTCTCCTTGTCTTCTCCATCTGTCCCTTCGATACCGGTGGCATCTCCCGCGACTAAAAGTATCGTTCTCTTGACTCCGGAAGTCGGTCAGCGAACTCACCTCCTCCTATGGTTTTTCTCCGAATCATACACCATTTCCCCTCCACTCCTCACCTCCATTTGCCCTCATTTCCCGCGCGTTGAGGTGTGTAGCCGGCCTTCAGGCGTCATAGGCACATTTTCAGTTGGGTAAGCTTTCAAGAAAATATAGCCGCTCCGTTCGTACCCACACTGACACCGCACGCATACTACAGCGGATACCTCTCTACACCAAAATGGATCAAACATCCCGTCCTATGATTCTATACAATGAATTCGATACGATTGCCGAACCGGGCCGAAGACCTCAGCCCATGTTCATGCGGCGGGCCAAGACGCGTCGAAGCAAGACGGCAGTCATTTTATCACTCGCCTGCGTTCTGCTCATGGTCTGGGGCTGGAAGAGCTCCGGTATAAGCATAGTGAGCGTTTCTGTCCGCGAGTCCGAGAGCTCTTACTGACAGCCATAGATACCTACGACATCTCGTTTCACCAGCACAAGTCTGGCCCACGCGCCTGAACCGGTGTTCTCGCCCGAGCTAGCAGGAGATACCGAAGCACCTTTGCTGGCACCACCAGTCAACACGACAGCTGTCGGCCTGAAGAAAACCAATCCTGCCTTCCACCTCATCATACCAGCATCAGAATCCAACCCAGAGCTCTGCAAGACGTTACTATCCTCATTCATACTCAGCTACCCATCACCTACACTGATCAACTACGGCAAGGTTTTCGAAGGGGTAGGATGGGATAAGGGATCTCATGCTGGCAAGATCCGTGGGCTATATGATTTTCTCAACAATAAGAAAGAGGTCAAGGATGACGATCTGGTGTTGATCATTGATGGCTATGACGTCTGGTTTCAGCTACCGCCCGAAATCGTGATCAAGAGATACCATGCTATGGTTCTGGAGGCGAACGAGCGTCTGCGAAGGCGTTATGGCGTGGTAACGGAAGGACATCCGGGCGATGGGACGGCGGACAGGGTGCAAAAATATACGCAATCAGTCATCTTCGGCGCTGACAAGATCTGCTGGCCGAACCCAGTCGAAGACCCAGCCTGCGCTGCAGTACCATACTCAATCTTGCCTAAGGATGTGTATGGCCCACTAACAGACAGGGACCCGGACGCCTTCCACAACCGCCCCCGGTACCTCAATTCCGGCACCGTCATCGGCCCCGTTGCAGACGTCCGCGCGATCTACAAATACGCCGTGCAAAAAGTGGAGCAGAAAGGTCGGGGCAAGATAGGCGACCAGTTCGTCTTCGCCGAAATCTTCGGCGAGCAGGAATTCCAACGTGAAACCATCCGCCGTACTTCCCAAAGTACTGGCGGCCGCTTCTACGATTGGCTCTCCAATACCCTCGGTACTTCGGAGTCGCCCCTGTCAGCTAACGTGACCATTAACAACATGACAACGGTAGCAGGCCAGCGCTATGAGTACAGCATCGGTCTGGACTATGAATCCCGCCTCTTTCAAACCATGACCCACAGCGCGGAAGATCTCGAATTCATAGTCTACAACTCTTCCGCTTTCCTCTCCTCCATCCAAGCGGCCCACCCCTCCCTGCACGGCCTTCCATTCTTCCTGCCCACCGACATCCAGCAGCTGAAGCCGCCCTTTTCCTTCGCCAGTCCAGGAGACCAAGCGACCAACCTCCAAGAGTCCAAAAACTCCCTGCTCCTTCCCTACTCCTCAAATCTAGACAACCTACCCGGCCAATCCGGAGACGCAGACGACCTGGACAGCGAAGAAGGCCAAGCGCCAACATGGCGCACCACCCCCCTCGCCACCAACATCTACGCCGCCTCCATCCCGCCCCTCCTCCACATCAACGGCGACAAATCCCTGCTCGAAGCCTGGTGGCCCAAACTCTGGCACCACCCTTATTCCCGCGCCTTGCTCCGCGCATTCATCCGCAGCACCCAGGGCAAGACGGCGGCGGCGGCGGCGGCCAGGGGAGGACAGACGTGGTGGGATAGCAGAGGCGGGAGAGGCGGCGTCTGGACTGATCGGGGGGAGTGGCTGGCTTGGGGCGAAGTGTGCCAGGGGTGCGAGGAGGATGTCTTCAATGACGGGAAGGGGGTCTGGGGCAAGGAGGAAGGGGATACGAAGGTGGTGAATTCGTTCGGCAAGGTTATTATCGGGGAGGATGAGGGGTGAGGGGGTCGGCTAGGCTGTGGTGGTGGAAAGGTGGATGAGTACGGCGTCGATGGAGGAGAACTGGTGTTTGGCGAAACAGGGACACGTTGCTTCTTTAGCGGGATATACCCATATGGAACTTGCCGATACGGCTGGTGTTTGATGCATGTGAGCCAAAGATCATGAGTTAGGATGGGAAGCTCGACTACCCAATGACGTTCCACTCTTATCAATCCACCGCTGTCTGACAGCTTGATGGATCTCATACCATATATTGGATTCGTTTATGTCCTCTACTATTTATACATCTTCGATAAGAGGTAGAGTAGCAGTGTCTTGTATCGTCGCTTTTGATGTCAATTCCATCGGCCCAACGCCTGCGCTGCTCATGCCATTATCGCGCCCATGCTAACGCTCATGATGCAAGAAATACAGGGAAACATGTCTTTGGCTCATAGAGACATGCTTGGAAAATGTGGACAAGAACCGAAGAAAGGACCGAAGAATGATGACTGTTAGACAGCTCACAGATCTCACAGCCAAAAGAGGAACCCCAACATTACACCAACCAATCCTACGCCCATACCTGCGACCTCGTTACCGGTATGCATCGCGGCTGCGTCACCCTTCTTCGCAGTTGAGGAGGGTTTGGCGTTGCCTGTGGCTGATCCACCGAGGCCGCCGGTTGATGTAGCTGCCAGATCGATAGTCTGACCGACGCTGGGAAGGGACTGTGTGGGGTCGACAATCCATCCATTCACAGTAGACGATGGGCAAGCTATGGGCGTGAGGCTGGACGCCGAGGCTGAGTAGGCTGAAAGTGCCACACCGGTAGGATGTAGGGTAGCCCAATGGCTCTTCAGGTTGCTGTAATCAGGGCTCACAGGCATCGGCGTACCGGTACGAATGTAGCCGTCCAATGCGGCCGTGTTGGTCATGTCATTGACCTTGGGCCCGTATGAAATGAGACCGTAGTCATTCGTTTCCTCAATCCACTCGTAGACAACGGCTCCCGAGAAAGCGTCCTCCATGTCTTTGCCGAGAATTGAGTCCATATCGTCGAATGTTCGGGGTTTGGGAATCCGGCATCCAGTCTCTGAGATGAAGATGGGGATCTGAAGGCCGGTTGCGTTTTGGACGAGCTCGTTGTAGCCACTGCCATCAAAGGAGGATTGACCGCACCATTCGTAGACGTTTAGAGAAAAGAAGTCGGCCGAGTCTGCTGGATCTGAACCGCATGCAAGGTAGTTCTGAAGCATGGGCCGGAGGCTTGGGATATCAGCTACAATGGCGCCGTCAGTCTGAGTAGTATGTAGTTGCGAGAGCTCTTGGATGTATTTCGTGTTCTAGGAATACCGCAGCCACTGTTGTGTGCTTTGAAAGAGGCCCAAATACATACCTCCAGAGTAGCCAACAGGTATATCACGGTAGTTCTTTGACTGTCTGTAAGCCTTGACGTCTCGGATGGCAGCTTTGACGAAAGGAGCGGTGTCGGAGCCATTGACTAATAGCCAGGTCAGCACGATACTTGCTGAAAGTCGAAGATTACTGACGCAAGGTCAAAGCCTCATTAGCGACGAAGACCCCAGCTAGATTGTCATACTGCTGGAACTCGTCTAAGACATCTTCAAAGGCGGAGAGTTGAGTCTGGTTCCAGGCTGGTAATGCCTGAATAGATGAGAAGATTAGCATCATCCTAGAGTCTATGGTGTTGTCCTCGACTTGCCTGGTTGAATTGGGAATCAAAGGTGTCCAGATCGAGCCAGAGGTATATGCCGTAGGAGGCAAAAGCACTCATGCATGCATCATGGTCGGCAGTCGAGTCTACGTGATAGACGCGTATACTATTGGCCCCCAGGTCTGCCATCGAGGCAGCGTCGAGCATACACTGAGTCACGTTGGTGAGAGGGTCGAGGGAGGTAAGCTGGTAGGCGACGCCTGTTCACGTTGTCAGAGATACACATCAATTGACGGATCAGAAGCTTGCCTTTGATGTAATATTGTGTTCCATTGGAGAAGAAGAATTTGGCTCCGACGGCAGAAATGGTAGGCATATCTGCAGCCGAAACAATGTTGACGGCTGCTAATAAAGCGAGCGAGAGAACTCTGGTGAACATGATGACGGTGGAGGTCTCAGACCGTGAGGGATGCTCGAATGGATATGCTGAGGAGCTGATCCTTGGGTTCGAATGGGTAGGCGGAATGGATGAAGCAAAGACCAGGTCTTTGATGTTGACTGCGGATAGAAGATCAACAGCCGCTTGGTAAACACAGATCAATTGGCGACGATAGAACGAGCGAAATGTCAGCAGCCAATAGACCTAGAAAGTGAACGAATGTATTTTGCACAAAGGCAAGTTGTTTTTACAATGAAGAGAAAGAAGAAAGAAGAAAGAAGAAAGATGGGAGATAGTATTATGATCGATCTGATCTGAAGGAGGACAGCAGTTTGGGGGAAGCTGCAGCCGAGGTTTCAGAGCTATCTCCACAACGCTTTGACATTGCAGGTTAGCTCCCGCTGATAACGATTGCGCGGCCTCGAGGTCATCGTTCTTGCCCTGCTCCGACTGTCACCGAGACTGGGCTTAGACTAATTTAATAATGAACCAGTGAATGACTTTCTTTCTTCGAGTATCTTCGAATACATATTAGCAATTATCAAGTATCTACTCTACAAAAATCCAAACTGCCTCCCAGTCGTCATCATTACTGTGTGGCAATTGGATTCTTCGCCAACATGGCAGCCGCGTGCTGATACGCCAATACCTCATAGTCACTGCCCGCCGTGCTGTTATAGTAGATGGCATAATCGTCATAGGGGTCAATAGACAGAGTCGTCGCAAATTGCCAAAAGGAGTCATAGGCAACACTGGTGTTCAAGAGAGTCGTTTGCTGCCATGGTTCGCAGATTGCCGAGTGATTGGTAGTGTTAGTCGAGCCGTACTCTTCGAAGACGACTGGCTTGCCTGCTGCTTTGCCTGCGGCGTTGTGTTGCATGATCCATTCGTTACCCCAGGTGTCATTATAGCCCCACGAATCGGGATAGAGGTGGAAAGTGCCGTAGTCGAGGGTGGAGATGGCGAGGTTTTTGACGAAGTCAATACCCTCGTACCCGGAGTACGCATACGAGCCATCGCCCACTGGAGGGGTCATCCATCCTTCATCGCCAAGAGCCACCATGTGCTGCGAATCTAACGATTTGATATACGCGCTGATGTCTGATGCCCAGTTGCTGATGACTGAGGTCGAGCAGCCGGAACAGCGCGGCTCGTTGCAGAGTTCCCATGCGAATATTGCGGCAGAGCTCTTGTAGCGGTTAACGATCAAGTTGATATACTTCTTGTAGACGGCCTGAGACTTGGCGTCAGTGAACCATGAGGTAGCATTCCCTCCAAACGCGGACGTATAGGCCGGGATGCCCCCTAGGGCGCCCCAGTTGTTCGCGAGCGGTAAGACCAGCTTCACGCCTTTAGCTTCCGCCGTTGAGACTACGTAGTCAAGTCTTGGGATACCTTTCAGACCGTCAATGGTGCTCTGATAAGTCCGGCTGCTCAGACCTACCAGTGTTGGAGTCGAAGTTGAAGTATTGGCCACTCGAATTCAAAACCTGATAGTACACACTAGATGCAGTGGCAGCATTGTTGGTCTCGCTAAAACCCCAGACACGGGCGACTTTTAATTGAGACTGTTTGCAATTAGATGGGTTGGTAAGAATGAGGCTTAAAAGCTGACATACCAAGGCGAGATCGGCAAAGACGTTGAAGACATCAGTGTTGTTCTGCAGCTGACCAAGCCACCATGCATTCGTGCCTGCAAACAAGGGTCAATTTCCTTTCATTCTGCTTCACCACATGGAAGATTATACCAGCGAAATACTGGGTCTTTGATTGAATCTGGAACATCCTGCCCTCTACGGTAGCAAAAGGCCCTCCACCGGCGCCGATTGGAACTGTTGGGGTGGGATACGTCGCGCTTGATGACAAGGTCGATGAGGCTTTGGTGGTAGACACGGTTACAATTGATGAGCTCTTTGATGTGACAATAGACGACTTTGATGTAATCGTTGAAATCTTCGCCGAAGTGGACAACGTCTTTGATTTTGCCGTGGTAGTCTTCGTCGTGGATGAGATGAATTTCGGAGCGCCATTGGCAGCTGGAGCACCATTGACCATCAGTAGTTGAAGAAGCATACAGAAGCCAGACATGGCAATGGAAGTGAAGAGATGCATGGCTGTAGAGGGTGTTTGTGATGGAAAGGGTCCAATTCGATGGGGTCTTTGCCTGTTCTTATGAACAATCCATGGCTCATACTTGAAGAAAAGTTGTGTTGTGCTAGGCTGCCTACAAAGTTGAAGCTCGTAGAACGAGCCGCGAAGATCTAGACTGGACCGAAATCAATCTTTGAGAAGAGGCTTGTTGGACAGCTGATACATTATGCAGCATTTCAACGGCAAACACCAGGTGGGGAAAGGGTGGCTTGTGGGGAAGATCGACGACATGCCTTGGGCTCTACGAAAAAGGAAGGTCTAGAGGTTGGTTCATCGTTCGGAACGCAGGGGTCAGGTAGGGCCGGCAGAATGAGGTTGTCCAACGGATGTTTCCTGCAAACGAAAGGGATAGCTGCCATTAAGAGGCAGTTTTTCCTGTGTGCCGACGCCGGGCTGATGGCCACAACGCCGTTGGCCAGAAAGCGAAGGGATGCTGGGAATAAGTTGGAAAGACGCGGAAACACTCGTCAAAACCCGGAGAATATTCCAACAAATGCAATTTCTATGTATAGCCGCGCAAATCATTCACGGTGCCGCCGTGAGACCGCCTTGACGGCTTGCTGATCACAATGAATGGAATTTTTTGACCGATCCGACATGTCAGCTTTTGTCAGGAAACTTGGCGGGTCTGATGCCTCCGGTTTTGGCTGCTTCTTTCCATTTTGGATGGAAGAATCTGTGCTGCCAATTAGACCTCTTCATTCTAGCATTTTGGCCTTGGGACAAGCCCCCAATAGTAGCAAAATCGAGACTTAACGGTCCAGAAATTGAGGGAAAGCATTAGGCAGCGTTACGATGAATTGACGAAGAAGGTGAGCAAAGCCGTACGTACCCCAGTTTCTAAAGCGATTAGAAGGGAAATTGAATTCCCTACTTGACCTCCCAGTCTCACAATTGGAAGACCGCCTCAATCAAGGAAAATTGTGGGCCCACGGTTTCTGCTGGCACCTATTTCTGCCTCGTCTACTCCTCTGCTCTTCAGAATGCCTTACCCCCCAGTGCCAGGTCGTTTCGATCCACAATGAAGTGCTGCTGTGCATCTTGTGGCCTTACCAAACTGCTCTCGTGCACAGCCTCTGTAGATATCTTGTTCGGAAATAGTGGAGCGAATCCGCACGACCTGAACAGCTTTGCAGCCATCAGCGTGAACACTGGGAAGAGACGAAACAATGAGGCAGATTCGAGAGTGACCCCTGAAGCCTCTCGTATCCTACGGTTTGACCATGTGCGAGCTTTAGGTGTGGGGCGAAATGTTTCAGACAGATGGATTCCTGAGGCAAGTCAGCCAGAGACGCCCGGTTTGAGTTGTAAAATTCGGAACAAAGGCGAAAATGGAGTGATAAAATGGTGGGTTACACATCCCAACACCATAGCTCGGAAAAGGGGTAAACAAGAATGGATGGCACGCCGCACAGACATGACAACTGTGATGGCGAAACGCACGAACACGGGAAATAATGAAGAGCGTCATCGCTAGGGCTCGAATTTAGGCCTCGAAATGGCCTTCGCGCGCGATTAAAACCCGCCCCCAACGAACCCTAACCTCCTTATTCATCAACCTCTCTCCAAAGTCATCAGTCAATCCTGCACCTTGTTCATGTAGACGGTAGAGACGTACCTGGCTCTGTCAGCTTCAATGTGACACCAGGAATCCGCCAACCGTCCAGCGTTCTAACAGCTCTGTTCCAAGATCGGCCCCCAAGACTTTCGGGAGCATCCTTTTTGCTATGGATGTCCCGTCCCCTCGGTCGTTTCACTTTGCGCCGAAGACGTGCAGCAGGCCAAAACACCCCTCCGTCGTCACCGTCATTGCCTGAGGCAAAGCTGGTCATGCGAAGCCTAAGGAATGCTTGTTGGCCCCTCCCTGTGCGGCGGATGACTAGGTCGAAACAAGCAGACCCCAAACGCCCGATATCTGCCTGTGAAGTACAATCATGGTGGGAGCTCTCTCTTACGAGTATATGAAGGGCAGTAATCTCTCCTCTGTTTCTGCTCGTTCCATCCAGTATCGTCTACATCTTCACCTTCCCGCCGCTTGCGAATCATCAGTGCAATTCATTGATTCATATATCCTTTTCTACCGAATCATCAGTCAGGTTTTCCCCAAGATGAAAGCCTACAACTTGTGCCTTCTCGCTCTGGCGGCTGTCTCTTCTGCGCGCCCCAGACCTTCAGAGGGTGGAGGTGGAGGGCCAGGGCAAGGGCAAAGGCAGGGATACCACCCATCAAAGTGGCAGAACCAAGAGTACTATAAGAAAGCCAAACACACACCTTCAGTCAATGGTGGAAATCATGGAGGAGGAGGCCACGCGGGAAGCCCAGCAACCACAGCTTTCCCAACCTTGGGCTCTGTAATCGGTGGCTACGGTGGAGCCGGCACTGCTGGTTATGCTGGTGCTGGCACTGGTGGATATCAACCACCTGCACCCACGAGCTCGGCTGTGAGGAAAACCTCATATCAGGACAGCTCAGAGTATTCTGAGGATTCCGAAAAAAAGTCTGGTGAATCCAATTCTGGGAACAGCGGCAGTCAATCTCTTGGATCAGGCCCGTCAGGGGTAGCAGGCTCCGGTCCCGTCTCGACTGGCGTTAGTACCACCGGCAACTTGACGACTGGGGGGACCATATCCAATGGCAAGATCACACTGCCTGCTAATTGCCAAAGTGTGAATGGTATCGGCTTCGGATGGCTACCGGACTATAACGGCGCAAGTCTGGCAGTTGATGAAAATGCAGTGGGAAACAACAACCCTTGCTTTGCTGGATACTACGGCCAGACCGGTTTATCAGTATGGAATAATGGAGCTCAAGTTAGTTTGGCAGCTCGAATTCGATCTGTATAGACTGACCGGTAGAGCAGATTACAGACAACATCGCCGATGCTACCAAAGGCGGGAAACCCTATCCAATTTTCGTTGCTTCTGTTATGCCACAGGGGACTCCTTTTGATCAATTCACGGAAGGCTCGGCTGTTGTTACTTCTATTGCAAATGCTATGACGAAGTTAACAGCAGCTGGTCTCACAGTCTTTCTTCGATTCGCCCACGAGATGAACTATTACGACTCCGCCGACGCTGGATATGTTTACACGGGCTCCGCCGAGGACTTTTCGAGCGCATGGGGTGTCGTCTCCGCTGCAGTGAAAGATGTCCCCGGGGTGTACATGTATTGGTCTCCCAATTACGACAGCAGTGCCACGGACCTGGTAAGCTCAGGCTGGTACCCAAATCAAGGTACTGTCGATATTGTTGGTATGGACATCTATCCTTCTGGTGGAAGCCAGTTTGCGGCCATCTACCAGAATTTTTGCCAGAATTGGCCCAAAATACCCTTCATTATTGGAGAGACGGGGTCTGCTAAAGGGGGATCCGCGAGCGACAAGCACGCGTGGCTTCAACAGCTCACCGGTAAGGCAGCTTTACAGGCATGCCCGAACTACCTTGGCTTCTCTTGGTTTGAGTACCTCAAGGGTGGCGTTGATTTCAGGATTGCAACGGGCGGAAACAACGCATGGCAGGGGGTCCTGTAGAGGCTAGATAACCATCCTCCTGTACATTTTGTCCTGCCTTCAGACGGCTTTTAGTATGCCACCTTATCCTTTCAACAACAATATTGACATCGCCTCCATGCCAGACATCTGACTTCAATGTGAGGGCAAGTTGCTTATGGCTTTCGACGTCGCTTTATGCGATCCGGGAGCGGATATAAAGTCTACAACTACGACTACTGTTTTTTTTTTTTTTTTTTTCAACAAGGCGTTACGAGACTTGGTAGCCAGTAGATTTTGCTCGTCTAAATGAGGATTTGGTGGCGTTTGTGGGGCAGCCAATCAGGTTTGCTGACGACCCTGTCGAGTTGCCTTGGCACTCTATCGATAACGCGCTTAGACTCGGCGCTGCATGCAAGCTTGCCTGGCTTCGAACCACCACAGTCCAGCTACCGTCTGTTGTTACGGCGAGAGAGTCGAGGCGTACGACTGAAAGAATAGACAGTATAAGGCAAATGTCTGCTGTCTACAAGAATCCTAGGTAACTCAACAGCCCTTATTCTCGAGCCTCTGCCTTGAACACCGCGATCTGGGACATGCTCTCTGCTCGTCCACGTAGCGAGCCTATACCATTCCAGTCCCTATGGTCTCCCAACCTCAACCCTCCGATCGCCCACTCGTCCACCGTCCCGCCTCCGTCTCTTCTAGAAGCACCAACACGCGCCGCCACCGCACTACGCGCTCGCATACGGGAGGCGTCTCATACAGGCCACAGAATGAGTTCCCAAATTTCGCGCAGACAGGAGATGTCGAGATAATCATCAATGCCGATGGTCAAGAGAAACGGTATATGCTACATCGACTGATATTGGCGCAATGCTCTGGGTTTTTCGAGACAGGGACGAGCGAGGAGTGGTCAAAAGCGCAGGCGCGTGGTCAAACACCTGGTCAACGGCCCAGCAACTCGCTGGGAAGGATCCGTGAAGACGACATACCTGGGAGGTCTTCATATTCAGGAGGAGGTCGTCTGCAATGGAGGTACGAGCTGGACTGGGGAAACAAAGACGACGAAGTGCCTATGCTGGTCCAGAAGCAACCTCAATCTACACTTTTCGGCGGCGACGCCAACCAGCCCCCACCTGTACCACACAAACCTCCGCCTCCAGCGTACGGATTCCTCCGCTCCATGTCCAACTTCTCCGCCATGCAATCTGCCTCCCATATTTCAAAAGCCAACCCCCACACCCCAGACAGCGACATCGTGCGCGATTACGACAACCTCTTCCGCATCTTCTACAACTACGCACCCGCTCTCGACGCCGTCAATATTGCGGAATCATACATACAATGCAAGTCCCTTCTCACCCTTGCGGACATGTACGACGCTTTAGAAGTCGTGGGTCCGCGCATAGATCACCACTTGCTACAATTTCAAGGCCGGCTATGGAAACAGATTGCCAAGTATCCACCTAGCTACCTCAAACTCGGATACCTGGCGCGCTCAAAAGTTATCTTCGCAGAAGCGCTCGTGCATGTGGTGGGTCAGTGGCCTTCGGGATCCAGCCAGCTCAAACATACGGTGCCGCCGGATGTGCTTGAGGTGATAGAAGACAAAGTCGACGACTTGCAGGAAAGGAAGATGAAAACCGAAGCACGGCTTTTCCGCCTCACGTTGACAACGCCCAAAGGAGAACGCGTGACGCCTTCGAATGCTTATATGGACTGGCTTGCTCTGTCGCTTTTTCGACAATGGCTTGCTGAAAATACTACGCCGCCTCCACCACCTATACCCAAGACACCGGAAGCGCAACAACGAGCAGCGTATTCTCAGCCACCACCGCTCAGCTCCGGGAACTTATTCCGCTTGCTCGGTACGGGTGGGTCTGGCTATCTTGCTCGGGACGAGATGAAGCGGTTTGTGAGGTTAAGACCTGATGATCATCAAAGAGATACCCTGAAGAAGTTTGAGAAAAAGATGGACGAGATCAAAGCGATGGCGCGGGAGATCGTAAGGCCCTTGATGAGAAATTGTCTAGAGTTGGATATGGGAAGGGATGGAGGTGGCTTGGGATATCTGACGTGCACCAGAGTTGACGAAGATGATTTCCCATTCTGAATGACCAACCGATAGTATTGCGTTATCTGGCGGGAGTTTGGGCGTTTGTGTTGGATATACCCGAAGTTCAAGGCATTTGTTATCGAGTTTGAGTCATCATTGTTATTCTCTAGTCTTGACATAATAACAGTCGTACCTATGCATACCCATCCTCTCACCACACCCCAACATCCTGCAAAAACCCCCGCCTCAAGCACCCGGTCCGAATGCTCACAGTCGCGGCTCGGAAAGAGGGCCACAAGGGGTGACACTCGATGACACTCACGCCGCTATCGGACAGAACAGCGCTACTCCCAAGAATTCTAGCCACGAGTCCCGCTCAGCTGATGCACCCATAGCGACCCTTCCCACGCAACCACCCGCCTTGGAAACGCACATGGATCCTCTATCGAAGGGGACAAACCACCAAACAACGCCACTCTCCAAGCCAAAGCCCTAGCCTCGTGGGCCTTTCAACCCTCCACGACATACATACCTCCCGCCCCCGCGCCGGACCCGTTCCTCGTCTTCGCATGGCTCGGATTCTACTGGGCTCTTTGTCTGACGTGCTCTCGTTGGCGGAAGGTGTGGATCGGGAAGAGGTCAGATTCGGCGGTTCTTCCGCTGATGGGACGCTTTCTTTGCTTTCGCCGGTTGCTCGCGCACATCTGTGTCTTGGCCCTGTCGGCTGCCGCGGTAGTGGTGGTAGGGGCACTTCTTTCCGGAACAGAGGCTTTGTGGTCTCCCCGTCTGCATCATCAGGGGGGGGTTTCCACCCTTGATTGCAGGCTGTTTCTAGCATTCTTTGGTTCACCCTCCCACACCTGTGTGCGAGCATTCACGTAAGATCTATATCGTTAAGTGCAAGGTTTTCGTAGCGCCGAGACACGAGAGTATACCTCTTTAGACCTCCGTTCGCGCCTGTTTAGGCCTACTATATTCAATCTGTTCCCGGCGTTGAAACGGCCCAATCGCATATCCACAAACGGTGCTGTGCCCCATGATCGCTACGGGGGTCATTGTTCGAGTAAGAGAACACTGACAGGACAGTCATTCCGAGCCGCCGAGCCCCTTGCCACCGGAAAGCATCCGCGTTAAGAGTTGACTTCGCACATCCGTATGTATCGTGGAAGGTCTCTCCCGAGGATACAAAGACGAATCTAATCGAAGACACGAGTCGAAGTACGATCACTCATCGTATCCCAAGTGAGGTCTTGTTCGTGCTTGGGGTAACGCTCACCGAGCTCAGCTTTTGGGCGGAATACATACGACATGCTAATACCGGAAGACGCCGACACCGACACAACCGAGGTCACAACCAACTTCAACACTGCCAGCCCGTCTTATCGATTACGTATATAGTGAGAGTGGTAGCAGGTATGGCGACGTTGTTCGGAGGTGCTTGAAGTGCCCCCCCCGGATGTTCGGGATGCCAGCATTGACAATGAAGAATTCCAAAAAGCCGTCTTCGATTCCATCGTTAGACCGCTCGGACAGGACTTTGAAGACTTCAATGGCGGTTCCCGATTAGATACTACTATGGGGGAAATGCCGCTGCCAGCACTGCTCCGAACGGAGTAGCTGCTCCGGTTATCTTCGCGCACAACGGAGAGATTCAATCTACACCATCTTACTAGGTATCATAACGATCTAAAATCCCAGTATCTTTAACAGACGTCCTCTAACTAGCTTTGGTGCTATTCGCAGGCTTTTGCTTTCTTGAACAAGTTTGATCGTGGTGGATATTGAGTGGAGAGAGTATATGCCGCTACAGCAAGCACGAGGCGCGTTATCCATGTTGTATTGACACAAAAGATTCCCTACTACACCTCTCTGTTTGCACCACAGCCACCCCCCCTCCTCCCAAACACCCCCTCTCGCTCCTCTGCCTAAAACCCTCGATCCCCATCCTTCTTGAAACCCTCCACAATTTTGTCCACTTCACCAGCAATCTCACCCGCGAACGCCCTCACCGTCCCCTCATCCATCAGCTCTCCATCACACCGGATCCCAAACTCGATGCAATCATCCTCGACCCTCCTCGCCACATCTAGGTACAAGTTCTTCTCGGCAAGATATTCCACTTCCAAACCATCCACCGCAGTCTTACCATGCTTCATCGTCTCCGCCGGTACAGCATCCATCGGGACATTTGGCAGCTGACATGGGACGAAGAGAGGGTCGGAACTTGTTGCTGGTCTTGTTGACGATGACGAGGCTGACAGAGGACCCCGCGCGCCCTCATGCGAGAGAATATTCACAAACGTGTTGAAAAGCGGCCCACCCCCGCATCCCACCCAACCCAGTATTTCGCGCAGATAGCTCTGCTCGAACTCCGCCCTCTCCGCCAGATCAACCTGCAGCCGCTGCGCACTCTCCAGCGCCGGCCGGCCCAACGCATCCGGTATCACCACCGGCGTGACGTTCAGACATGGAGCGCACAGCTGATCGATGCCTTTGAACGAAGCGGAGCGGCCCGCCTGGTAGAGGCCGAAAGTCGGACTGGCGACTGAGGTGTGGCGGGCCAGGGCGCGGGCGAAGGCGAGGAGGATGAGTGTGGGGAGGGAAGTGGAGGAGTGGCGGCATGTGGTTTCTAGGGACCGGAGGTTTGAAAGAGCGGGTTTGATGGAGACGAAGATTGCGGTGGAAGCGGTAGATGTGGGGACGGGAGTGTCGGGTTGGGTGGTTGATGGCTGGAGGAGGGTTGGTTGGCATTCTTTCAGGCTTTTGCGCCAGTAGAGTTGTTCCGGTTCGGTGTGGAGAGAGTGCATGGTGTGGTGGATGAACGAGGCGAAGCGTGGCGGGGACGGTAGATGGACGCCTTGATATAGTGCGATGAGGTCGTCAACGATTGTCTGAACTGTCCAAGCGTCGTATGTTGCATGATGGAGTTTCAACACCACAAAGTCTTGAGTATCCCCGCGTATGAGGCGTAGCTTCGAAGGAG